AAACTTAACCAGATCGTACAGAAACTTAACCAGATCGTACAGAAACTTAACCAGATCGTACAGAAACTTAACCAGATCGTACAGAAACTTAACCAGATCGTACAGAAACTTAACCAGATCGTACAGAACAACTTATGGTATTAAAAAAAAAAATAAGAAGTCCTCAAGAAAAGACGTAAGAATGAAACATAATATTTAAGGTAACATCGTTTTAAAAAAAAATGCAACATCATTACGTTTTATTGAAACATTTAACCGTTACAGCTAACACTTCACCTTTCAAAGGTGCAAACAAGACAATCACTTCATCAAAATCAACATTAATCTCCACCTTATCAAGTTCCATTGACACCAGAAAACGTTGCTTTGTGCCGGGATGTTACTATTTGCATGGACTGTTCGTTGTTTTGTTTTGTTCTTCTTTGAGGCATGGTTCAATTTGCAAATGCAATAAGAAGGATAATAATTCATACATGCTAAAAAGAAAAAAAGACTATGAAGAAAATATGAGAAGACAAAGGCATATGTAATAACAACTGCTATGATTGTACCGTCCTCTGATTGTACCCTGCTCTGATGGTACCCTGCTCTGATGGCGCCCTGCTGTCTGGCGACACCCTGGTCTGATGGCACACTGTTCTTGTAGCTCCCTGTTCTTAGTTCTGCTATGAAACCAACTTGTGCGAACTCTGTCAAATTTGAATTTCCCCTTTGGTGTTACCCTGTGTGGTCCGCAACCCCCCCCCCCCTCCAAGTGTCACCACTGCTACAGACCACCATTAAATCAACACAGTTCTCCCATTGAGTTACAAAGGCACACCAGCTTACCAGACAGCAGTAGAACTATGTTAGGATCTTTCATTGATTCAATATTCCATTACCGGAACGGAGTAGCTGCTGAAGTAAGTCCGATAACTTGGAAGAAATCAGATAATATTTTACTGTCCTATAATGCCCCCCCCCCCCCNNNNCCCCCCCCCCCAGAAATACAACCCCGCAATCTAATGACATGGATGAAGACAAACTTGACCTGTTAGATCAGTACAAGAGGAATCAATGAGTGTCGATATCTATAATTGCGATCGTTGAACATTTTGAGAGGTGTGCCTGCCTACACACCATTCCTACAATTGAACTTGAATAATTCGATATTCTATTCTAATTACAACAGATAACGAGGCGTCAAGATCAATAACCTTAGCCCCGCCCAGTGGCGTAGCGAGGGTGTTTGGCGCCCGGGGACAAGATCCATTTTTAGCGCCCCTTTTTCTTTTTTTCAACTCTCAAACCCATTATTTTCATCAATAAAATAATATCAAAGCACATTTTGGCGCCCCTAACTAGCTGGCACCCGGGGACGTCTGTCCCCCCCTGCCCCCACCACGCTACGCCTCTGCCCCCCCCCCCCACGGTGCCGTCTCATTAAAATATACGCCTCAGTTGATTGTCTCTCCAAAGTCGCTACTTCTTCTTCTTCTATATTTTGAGGGCCCACGATCGATATATTGATCATTTATGTTATGCTCCTATGTTTCAGAGGGGTTCGCGATGTTAGTGTGCATGGTTTTGGAGGGGGTACTTCACTGGTTGCAAGGGCTACTCAGCAGTGCTATTATGAAATGGGGGTTGAAAGACAGGAGGCAAAAGACGCAAATGTGTCAAATGTAGTCGCCTCAACTGTTGCTTTTGGAAGCTTGTTCCAGTCCCTAATTGTCCTTGGCAGGAATGAGGAGCTCCTGTACCGAGTTGTTTTTATCAGCCGGAACTGCCTGTCGTGGCCTCGTCGATATATCTAAGGGGGGGGGGGAGATGGACAAGTTTCTGTTTAATGCTGGAGCAGTGGACCAGCCCATTATTTATCTTGTACATCATGGAGAGCTTGGATAGTCATCGTCGTTCCTCCAATGGTGACCAGCCCAGTGTTTCCAGCATGCAGCCAACACTTGAGGTATTCCTGTAGCGGTTCAGGACAAAATTTGCTGCCCGTCGCTGGACCGCGTCCAACCCGTTGATGCTCTTGTGGGTCAATTGGTCCCAGACTGAAGATTGCGTACTCTAAAAGCGGCTGACGGATAAAGGCTTTATTCTTTCAAGCTTGAGTTACCGATCTTCAGATTTTGCCTTGCTATATGCCACTGGTGTCTTATCTCCAACACGCTATAAGCCACTGGTGTCTTACCTCCTACTCGCTATATGCCACTGGTGTCTTACTTCCTACTCGCTATATGCCACTGGTGTCTTACCTCCTACTCGCTATATGCCACTGGTGTCTTACCTCCTACTAGCTATATGCCACTGGTGTCTTACCTCCTACTCGCTATATGCCACTGGTGTCTTACTTCCCATTTCCTGCTTCATAACTACCCGATATATGCCACTGGTGTCTCATGATGAACATCACCAGACAATTATTCATTGGTTACTTTTCGAGGATTTTAATTCCTGTGGTAACATCCACTGTCACAGGGGAGACCCACAAAGGACACTGTCATAGGGGAGACCTACAAAGGACACATGTCATTAACACGGGGATTTCAAGTAGTGATTATTTCAGAAATTTTCACCGGGGGCGGGGGGGGGGGATTGTCACCGAGGAGACTACCACAAGGTAGACTGCCACAAAGGAGACCGTCCTTGGGAAAACTTTTATTGTAGAGACTGTCAGAAGGAGACTGTGACAAGGTAGTCTAACTCACAGATGAGATTGTCGTGGGGAAACTTCTCGGACCAGTGTAAGCCACTGATTGCCATATCAGCAGCATGAAATGAATGTCTTTGGAGTATGACAAGCTGAAGAGAGAATCTCTCAAATGTCAGGGACTAACCGAAGACTGCAACAGTGAGAGTGAGATTGCTGGACATACTTGACAAATGGACGACAGCAAATAATATGTAAGTTGATGTGTTGAAATCGCAGTTTTTAAATATGAAATTATTTTTTAAACATATTAATGATCTTTTAGTTTAGTATTTTACAAATTTAATTTTCCAATGCTATGTTTGCTGAGATTTTAAATAAATAACTTGAAAGAAAAAAAAAATAGTTTAGATTTTGCTATGATATTAGAGTGCAATTGTCTATGGTCCCGGCGACCATCTGGTGTTAGACATATTGTAGTGGGCAAACAGATGGGAAATCCTGTTGAATAGACCCTGTAAGCTCTATTGATCTCAGCCTTAAAATATACTGTGTTCAGACTGAAGTTTTGAGCAAATCTCTAGCAACATTACAGAAGCATTTCATCACATATTAGGCCTAAATGGTAAGTTAATATGGTGAAATTTCTGGTGATATTTCTAGTAGTAGGCCATAGAGAGTAGCCTACTTGGTGGCTGACATCTCTTTACCATATCATGTTTCTTGGGCACAGCCTTGGGTTCCAGTGTGTTTTCTTTTGCTTTATTAACATCACCTTTAGGAGACCTATTCCTATTCCTTACCTGTAAATCTGCATTGCTTTGTGGTTGGCATTCAATACTTGATGTCATTGTCCAGACAGTGGGTGACACAATGACAAGAATTCAATGTCCTCAAGACATTTGATCATTGAGTGGCTTTAAGCACTAAATAGAATGTCATTACATACAGTTGGCCAAGCACGCTAACTTCCTAGCTTCGTTATTCATAAGATAGGGAGGACTCATGGATCAAAGTAAAACAGTGTTCAACAAAATACATTAAACCAAACAGGTATTCCCAACCCAACCCCAAGCATGGTTCATTAAACATTTCATATTTATTCATACAGTCCATGCTGTAAAAAAAAAAAAAACACTATAAATAACCACATATCTGGGTCATATAAAATATTCAAAATTTGAAGGTCTCCTAGAAGTTAAGAGCACACATGAGGGCCACACCCCTTTTAATCCAGTGGCGTTGCATCTTGCTTGTAGGAACCTCCACAGTGAAGACAAAGTTTGTTGAGTGACCGGTTGTGGACAGTGTACCTGAGGAAGAAAAACAAAAAAGGACAGGTTTAAAAAATAATACCATTAAATTTAATTAAAGTTACGTGAAAAGTCCATACCTCAGGATGGAATGCAAACATCAGACTGACACATGAAGTAGATCCATATCATCATATGTAGGCTTACTGGTATTATAATCTGCAGAGCCCCTAGTGTTAATAATTAAATTTGGTCTTTTGTCGAGGGCATATAAAATTAATGAAGAATATTTAATCATTTTAAAAAGAGTTTATAAGTTAAATTGTTTATTGATAGGTTTCAAATAAAAAAATTTCCATCATCTTATCTGAAGAAATGTAGAATGGGGTGACCCAGGGGCTTGATGAAAATGGTGGAGGAACAAAATAAAGGCTTCATTTCAATAATTATTTTCTTTTAAATTTTAAAGGAAATAACTTTTATAGAAAAATTATTAAATTAGTCTATGACAAAAATCACACAACTTTTCAAAATCTGGACAAGATCTTGGAAACATTGCTTTCAACAGACCACCAAAAAATTAAATTTATGATTTTTTTTTTTTTTTTGGACCCACATCTAGTTTCATACAAAAGCAGATGTGTAATAGGTCAAAGATCAGTACACACCTGCTCTGGTTAAAGTTTTGTAAACTGGGCAAAAGTAGATTCCTTTGACAGGTTCTTTTCTTTGGGAGACGGGTACCAGCCAAATTGGAGGCATGCTAGTGTAGAGCTCTTTAGGACGCGACTCGGTCAGGCAAAGGTCATTTGCATCCCAGCGGGCACCTTCTAAAAATAGCCCTTCAATATAACACCCCATTTCCGGATGACTTTTGATCGATTCTTTGGTTCTAACCTGGTGATAAGACACAAGACATTGGTGAATTTGGGATAACACTCACAAAATTGTTGACTTGGGGATAAGACACAGACCTTGATGACAAGACAAGAGACATTAGTGACAAGACTTTAATTACTTGGTTAAAAGACATAAGACACTAATAAATTATGGCATCATTACTAGGATAAAATATCAATGTTATAAGCAAAAGGAATAAACATGAGTAAACAAACTAACTGCCGATGACAACACATTCTTTCAAATTTTCAGCCCCAACCCCCAAAAATCAAACTGTCCTGTTTTTCAAGGGGAAATGAAGGAAATGTGACGCCACCGATTACATGAACAAAATCCTGATAACTGCACTATACATGAGATTCTTCACACACAAAATTGGGAACTGCTTTTGGTGTCTAATACTTTCTAGTTTTTTTTCTGAAATGGTGAAATAAATTTGCTCTGTAAAAGCAGGTGGCTCATTAGAATATTAATATAGTTCAAGGGCGTGAAAACAATGTGGGGTTGCCAGCCGGCCGGGGGGGGGGGGGGGGGGGGGGGGGGGGGGGGGGGGGGGGGGGGGGGGGGGGGGGGGGGGGGGGAAAGAGACGACAACCACTTATTGGGATTCTTATAAAGTCCATTACTTAAATGTATGTTTTGTCAAATTTTCAGCACCATCCCCCATTGCCAGATATTACAATTTATAAAGGATTTATATGAACGAACATTTTTTGGTCTTAGGGGCTGTTTAATTGCAGAAGCTAAATCCTGAACTTTTTCGGTCATTTCCAACGTTTCTGCAATCGTTCTGTCTATGGATATTGTAGCTATGCAAACCAAATGATCTTGAAACAGTGGAAAGAAAGAAATATTTCTTTGAGTTTGAACCTCGAAAATCTTGTCTCATAACTCACAATAACAGTTGACCTAAAGCCAGCACTTGGGGGGGGGGGGGGGGGGGGGGACAGCGAATGGGAGAAAATGAAATATTCAAATCCCTAAAAAATCATAGAACCAACCTGGAAATCAAAACTGATTGTGTCAATGGAGATGGACACGCGCCTGGCGTAGTTCTGTAGTGTGCCTGTCAGGAACGCTTGTGGGAAGAAGAAACCCGAGATCCAGAAAATCTGTGTGACAGCAAGGAGGAAGGTTTGAATGTTTTATTGCAAGGTTACAAAAGTATAGTAGCGGTTGATCTGCTAATCAGCTTGAGTTAATGCAAATACTGTCTTGTATTAGGATGCGATGCTTTGCTGACTTTATGACAAGTAGTTTCTATTCAGCAATCTCTTAAATTTCGAATGCAGTACAAATACTCGTCTACACATTGATCTAAACGTTACGACTCGTGGATAAATGGCGGGTAAGCCTTTGGGGTTAAGAAATCCTGTAATGTTTATGATTTTGTCAGATTTTTACCTACTGAACACTAAACTATGGCTGGTGTATGACTGACTCCAGACATATCGCACCAGATGCTTGTATCTAAATCTCCATAAGTCAGCACTCTGCATACATATTAAAAACATGTATGAAAAAAGCTACTGGTAAGTACACTAGCACTACCGGTAACTCGACATTGCCACGTTCGCAATGTACCAAATTTTATTCACATGAATAGAAAATACTCATCAGACCAACGACTTTTAGTTGGGCAGCATTCTTGATTGGGGGGGGGGGGGGGGGGGGGGGGTGATGATCCTTAGTGAAACACCCTCAGCCCCACCTAAGCAACAAGTCATCACGCTTCAAGTCAATAAAACATGTAAGCTTACCAATGGGATCCCGTCATCCACCCACTTGTTCATAAAGTCCATCCTGGCATTTAGGTCAACTATCCATGCCGCCAATGGTTTTAAAGATGGATACGCCTAAGGACAATATCATTCTTATGGGTAAATAAAATTAAAAAGATCACTGCATGTTCTATATTTTTACAAATTACTGACACATGTTCTTCATAAATATTCTATATTTACACACATTTCTATACAGCAGGCCTGCACAACATACGGCCCGCTAGCCGCATGTGGACCACCAGCACCCACTTTGCGGCCAACAAGGTAACGAAATATTCTTTATTCTTGTTATTTTCTTAATAGCTTTCACCCTGCCTATTTCTTTTGGCCCGCACAAGTTTTCCATAAAATATTACGGCCCGCCTTACATTTTGAGTTCTGCACGCCTGCTATACAGTATTCTCATGCCATACATTACTACACCCATAATTATGTACAGAGATACTTCACAAATATAACATAAGTAAGTGTTCATAACTAACATTGTTTGTCCTGCTACAGATTCAGCAGACAGGGTGTGGGGAACAGAGAGAGGAAAGAGATAGTAATATACTATGAGATCAGCAGTCATACAAGGTAAACGCACCTTTCCTGCCCACATTGCTGGCACGGCATTGACAAACAGGCTGTTGGCCATCTCTTCAAGCTTTTGTGACATGACAACGAGACCTTTCAAGGCTTTCAAAAGGTCTTTTAAAGACTGGTGAATTATCATCAGTAACCGGTTGTACCTGAAATTCACAAAATCATTTTCATATCAGCCCTTGGTTAATGGGGTCAACAAATTAATGGTCCATTCAAAGAAGTGAATGTAGACAGAAATTTCTCCTGTGTCGTGGCCATAGGATGTCTAACATTATCTAAGGTTTTCGTATCCATATCTTGCATCTGTTGTATTCCTTTTGGTTTCAAAGAGGGCTTATTTGATGTTATAACTAGTAGGAAAACACTATGGTAAATTCTGACTGATTGGAGAACAAATTAATTCTATATCTGTCAGTCCTTACTGTGAGGTAAAGAATTAGCCCTGATTGTGCTGATCTTAAGTAACCGGAATGTAATGGGTGGGATGTAGTTGGTGGGATGTAGTGGGTGGGATGTAGTGTGTTTCAAAATATTTCATCACAATAAAATTAATTTTAAATTACCATTTATCACTGGATATCATGAAAGGTTGTATTTAGAGATGGGTACTGTAACGGACTATGTTTTCACAAGAAAACAGAGAGGTAGCATGAGTGAACAGTGAATTGTGTTGACCATGTTTTGCCACGAGTAGAGTGTATTGTATTTTTGAGAAGCAAATGTGAGCTCCACGTTTTTGGAGAGTAATTATGTTTTTGTCAAAGCGGGCGTTTCCACGCTTTGCTGGTAATAAAAGGGGCAGTTGAGTTGATTGAGCAAGAGAAGAGTCAGAGTTAGAAGAGAGTTGAGCTGAGTTATAGCAGTGTGAGGACGTGTCTTTCTGAGTGATGATATATATATATATATATATGTGAAATGATTACATTCATGCAAGGATTATTATTAATATTATCTGTGTAAACTGTGATTCAATAAAGTACTGTAAGTTTAACCAGGATTCAGTATTCTTATTTGCGTGCCTGAATAATAAGTGGAAGAACGAAGAAGTCTTAGCCAGCATCCTGAATTATTAACATAAAACAAGTGACCATGCTACTGACATAACCCACTAAGTTACAATGATGTCAGAGCATGCGTTACAGGTACCATACCCATCCTGAAATCAAACCCTGCTGATGACTGAAGCCGAACCAGACCCTGCTGACGACCAACCTTGAACTGAACCCTGGTGACAATCCAACCCAATGAGGGATATGATCAAACCCATACCACGGCGACGACAAAACCCAAACCGTGCTGACAATCGAACCTGAACCGGACTTCTAAAAGAGGGTTCGACTCCCATTTCTAGCTGTAATGTCTTTTCTTTTCTTCTTTTTTTTAAAACTTAAATTCACTTGTAATTACACGTTGTTTTTTTCCATACAGTGATGTAATACTTGATGTATGATTTAATCATTAGACCTAAGTTCATTGGCTCAGTCTTTAACCAATCAGAATACTGTAACACTAGCCATACAAAGGCCCCAAGCCCCCACCCAAGGCTCAGTCTTTTAATTTCACTGTAACTGTCAGATCCCTGTACACTTGAGTTACCTGATAACTTCTTGGGCTAGTACCGAGTTCATGGACTGCTCATACTTGACTGGGTACTTGGAGGTGACTGTCTTCAGGTCGATAGCATTGGGACATTTCTCAAGAATAAATTTGGCGGTTGATTCCGTCACCTGAATGAAAAATCAAATGTTAACTTCCATGCTAATCAGTATTCATTCAGATTTCATACTGTACTCTCGTTGTATCAGTGCTTGTGTTATGAGAAACCTTTAAAGTACAATGTCAAATAATTTTCTTGGAAGCTCTGATTCTAAGAAAGGTGTACAAATTTGATCAAGCATGAGCTCATGGCTTCACCGTAAAAAGAAAGCTATCAGCGCTTGAAAGCCAACTGATATTATTTTAAATTATAGTGAATAAAAAGTTAAAGCCGAGACGTCAAAGTTCAAACAGGCATTCATTCCTCTTGTGTATTTGCTTGCTTTCCCTGCAACACCAGATCATTTGAATTATATGGTAATTACCATTGAAAAATTTCTTGATAAAAATGACCGCTTGTAACCCTCAGTGCATCAATAAGGACTCAGCGACAAGCTGTGGACATTTCTCACAAATGTAGTTAAATTTCCCACAAGACACCAACCTCTTCACGGGTGCTTCCTTTCCCGGCAGCCGTTTTTGGCTGCAGGTGTATGAGGTAGCCCAACAAGGCGGACGTTTCATTCTGGGCAAACGTGATGTTAGCATTCTCATGGAGACCAAATATTTCAGGCTTGTCATTGATGGGCAAGTTTTTGATGTATTCAATGTAGCCCTGGGAGGAGGGAAAGTTAGATCTAAACATAGTATCCCTCACGTTCTTACATCTGAATTACACTTCACTGAATGTAGGTTTTGCCAATACCAGAAGGACAACCAAGCTGGACAGATCCGTAAATAAACAACTAAGGACTAGTGAGCAAAGGACCCAGGTCAAATTTAGTTTACAGAAGAGAATTGAAAAAAGAGCCAGTCAGCTTAATCAACAATTATTCTGCACATCCTTAGCTCCCTTTATATGTTTTTTAAATTTGAAAAAATATTTAGTTAACAATCAGTTGAAACGTTCAACAGTTTCATGAACTGAAGAATCCGTTTAACATTGGCAGCCCGGACTCCATGACGAGAGCCATTCACAAGGAGAATAGCCTTTCAGCTAAAACAATAACCCTGTGTGTCACTGGTGTTGACCTGATGTTCTTACCATCCATTCTGTCTCAGCCGGCAGCTGCTTGTAGACCCCTGACTCAGAGTAGCTGTGGCTACTGCTGATGGCCTCGGGGCAGTAGAAGTCTCCCAGGATGTTCATGAGGCACCGCCTGTCCCAGTCGTCTGTGACGCGACCTCCGTAGTTGATGTGTCCGGCTGTGTACACCAGAACCTGAGACAAAGTCATTCCTCATTATGGGACACACACAGCAATGCACCTGTCAGAAACACCACATTAAACCCTGCCTAACCCATTCCATGAAGTTAAAATTGAAACTTAAAATACACAAGTTGTCTCAAACCAAATGGGCTGTGAAGATGGTCTGTCCCATCTCAGCAGCAATGTTCCCTCTTATTTTTACACTGTCTCTTATACTCCACCTAAAAATAACTGTGTATTCTTTCTATGCCCTGGTGTAATTTTGTCCGAGTTCTATATGCTGTAGCATATTTTTTGCAATTTTTTTTAGTGTCTTTAAACTTCACCCAACCAGTTAACACTTAAAGTTGGTGGCTAACAATTAATTTACACCTAGACCAGCAGTTCTCAACCTGTGGGTCATGACCCCTTTGTGGGGCGAACAACCCTTACACAGGCGTCGCATAAGACCATCGAAAACACATATTTGTGAAGTAACAACAAAAAATTTTTTATATGGTTGGGGGGGTTACCACAACACGACAAACTGTATTAAAGGGTGGCGGCATTGGGAAGGTTGAGAACCACTGACCTACAGGGAACACTGTACTGTGTTACCTTAAAGGGGACATCATTGTACTCCAGCAGAAACATGTTCAGCTGATCAACACAGATCTTCAGGTCTCCATCTGTGAACTCGTACGGTATGTTAAAACCCAAGGCACCAAATTTACGCCGCTCCAACACAATGGCATGGAAGAAGCAGATGGAAAGCAGGAGGTGTTTAAACATTCGGATCTGAAGGATATCAAACAAGCAGACGGCTGTGAACTAATAAAAACTGCTCTGACTTAAATCATAAATCTAGGTGTAATTATAAGAAATGTATTGTATTTTAATCAGAGTATCAATAGTAAAAGAAAAGTTAACTTTTGACAATGTTGATTTATATACATAAAACAAAAAATGTGTATTGACCAAGCCCAGGATCTAAAACAGTGGAAGTAATCTTTGACGGCAGGGTTACCTTTCCTGTGCATTGCTTTAAAAACTTGTCACTGAAGCCCAGGTATGACCTCAGTAAATTTGCCTTGATGCCTTTTGGTGGCTCCACCGTCATTTTGGAGCTGTTCTGCAGGATGTAAACCGGGAAGCTTGGACTGGGCATGCTGGTCAGCCACAGGCGAAAATCTTTGTGCACCTAAATAAGATAAGATTCTTTACTAATCCAAGTAAATGGAAATGCTTTTTGATTACAAAATGGTGGTCGAGTGAAATGTTTACAAAGCCTAAACTACTGATGGAGGCAGTAAATAATCATTGTGGTACATTCCTTTAACACACTTCTGAGATTTTGCTAATCTTGCAGCATCATGTGTATCAAATTCTTCACATTAAATGGGAAGCAGTGCACTAAGAGAGGATACAATGAGGAATTGGTCCTAGCAAAAAGTTTTTTTTTTTTAAATTAGCATGCAGGAAGAAAAAAAAGGTTTATAATAGATTGAATTACTCTAGGCAGGTCAGCTCTTCAGGGTATATGGGTTATTAGGGCATATGCACAAATAGGTTATAAGCAATAGCAGGGCATAGGCACTAGTAGGGTACACACAAAAGTAAGGTATATGAACAAGTAGGGTAAATGTACGAGGGTACAAGCACAAGTAGAGTATAAGCATTAGCATCAGAAGAAGGAACTTTAAGGGAAATGTCCCCAATACATTGTCAGTGCCTACCACATCTGGATCAATTGTCTCTGCAAGTCTCTCCAATGTAGGCATCCAACTAGGAGCTAAATGGCAATTCTGGAAGAAGACCCAACCACCTTTCTCCATAGCATACCTCATCAATGCTTCAGCCCTGGGTCCCTGCCATACAACACATAACTCAGCATGAGGCAGTTGTAACAACAAAACCATTCAAATTGCTGGTTATATTAACGAGTGCTGATGCTGGCTGCACTATTTTGTAAAAATGTTAAAATATAATTTTTAATTAATTTAATTAATATTTATTTTTCTGCAGTGAAATATATATACAATAAAATCCTACACAAGAAAATCACATTCACAAACTTTTCCCCTCTATTTTTGAATCAATGTCTCATTATTGGAAACAAATACAGTTTCACTGATACCCATCTGATCTGAAAACATACCAGTAGATTTACCTGACTCAGTCCTTTAGATAGAAATAAAATAATACTTGCCCTTATCCTTATGATCCAAACATGCCCTTTACCTTAAAGATGTTGTATTACCTGCCTCTTGCCTTAGAGATGTTGCATTACCTGCCCCTTGCCTTAAAGATGTGGCATTAACCGCCTTAAAGATGTGGCATTACCTGCCCCTTGTTTTAAAGATGTGGCATCACCTTCGTATGCCCTTATGATATAAAATTACCTGTCCTGCCCGCCCTCTCCCACTTCAACCACAAAATGACCTGAAATTTATCTGCTTCATTGCCTCGGGCTTATGCCCAAATGGCTACTGGATCTTAATGATGACGAGGATCTACTTCAATGCTGTACTAATGCCTCCCCACGAATATCTAAGTTACCTGCCCTTGCCCTAACGATATGGAGTTGAGCTTCTTAGAGAACTTCATGGTATCAGCGAAGGCGTAAAGAGAGCCAGCTGGATCAGTCCCTGTTGACAAGACAAACACCAGGGGGGACGTGGTGGATGAGTCCTTGAAAACATTGGCCAGATCGGTCGTCTGAGGCTCAATGAACCTCTGCCCTAGAACCTGGGACACTAATGTCTGCATGGCATTGGTCACTTTGTCAGGACGCAGGGCCTTAAGAACCAGAGTTGACTGGAACTTGTCTAGACTGGTCGCCCACGACCCAGGCAGAGACATGCTGAAGTGGATCAGATAGAGGATGTTTCAAAGTTAGTTTTTAAGAAATTAGAATTTTTAAAGTTAGCTTTTTAGGAGTTAGAATTTTTAAAGTTAGCTTTTTAGAAATTAGAATTTTTAAAGTCTGCTGTTCAGAAATTTTAGTTTTCAAATTTAGTTTATTGCATAGGACATTTTATTGGGCAAATCTTACCTCAAAATTTTAAGCATAAAGAAGGGGGAGGGGGGGGGAGAGAGAGAGAGAGAGAGAGAAAGAGAGGGAGGTATTGGCCTTTTTGTGCCATTTCTTGATATAAAACAATCCAGTTATAAGCTGTTTATTTCAAATTTGATTTTAAAATGTTAACCTAGTGATCATATTGGAGGAGTGGTTCTAAAAGAATATTTTTTTTTAAAAAGTAAGTTAAGGGTGTTGCCATAGGTTACCAACCCATTAGAATAAGGTAAGGCTCTGTAAGGAGTAGTGCAGGAAATTATGCTAGGCAACTTAACCAGATGGTTATGAACTTACTCCTGGGAAGATCATGGCTGTCAAGGTCAACTTAACCAAATGGCATGAACTTACTCCTGGGGTCATGGCATGAACTTACTCATGGGGTCATGCCATGAAACTCCTGGGGGTCATGGCTGTAACGGACAACTTAACCAGATGGCCATGAACTTACTCTTGGAGGGTCATGGCTGTAAAGGACAACTTAACCAGATGGCCATGAACTTACTCTTGGGGGTCATGGCTGTCAAAGATGTGCTTGAAAGCGGGCAAGTGGTTTTTAAAATCTTGAGCAAACCCCTGGAAGGACGGTAGACTGGGCAGTGTGAGGATGTCATTCCAGGACCGGGCCGAGAGCCACTCGGGGGCCGGGTTGGGCAGATCCTCAGGGGCCACCGTACCACCAGCTATCAGCCACCTCCAGTCTGCCTGGAATATGGTAAGATAGTTTAGGATACCGTAGGACGTTTGAAACTTTTTGTCCTAATCATGCAACGCACACAAGTAAAATTTTTTTAAACCATTTGACACACATATTAAATTACGAAGTGTTACTCACTTTGCTATTGACACAAGTTGCCAACAGCTTTAAGACAGTTGAACAAAATTTACAAGAATGAATTAAATGATCAATTTTTAATGATTAAATTTATCTTTATTCAAAATATTTTTCAGATAATGGACTCAGAGGCCCCCCAATTGTCCACTCACAAGCCAGCAATTGTCCACCCATAGGCCCCCAATTGTCCACTCATAGGCCCCCAATTGTCCACTCATAGGCCCCCAATTGTCCACTCACTGGCCCCCAATTATCCACTAACAGGCCCCCAATTGTCCACTCACAGGCCACCAATTGTCCACTCATAGGCCCCCAATTGTCCACTCACAGACCACCAATTGTCCACTCATAGGCCTGAAATTGTCCACTCATAAGCCACCAATTGTCCACTCATAGGCCACCAATTGTCCACTCACAGGCCCCCAGTTGTCCACTCATAGGCTCCCAATTTTCTACTCACAGGCCTCCAATTATCCACTAACAGGCCCCCAGATAGTTTACTCACAAACCCCCATTTTACGACCCATCGGCAGGTAAAGTTTCTCGCCAAAGGCCCAGCCTTGGTCCACTCACAAAGCACCCACCCCCCCCCCCCCCCCCCCCCCATCCCCTCACAGGCTGCCATATTGCCCCCTCCCTTGCCCCCCCCCCCTGTTGACAACTCACCATGTCAATTTTCCCACTTTCCATTTCCCGCCTGACGGCCATTAGCAAGCCAAAAAGTAGCTTGTGTTTCTCAAACAGACTGCGGCAGACGTTGATGAACAGGTTGTAGGTAAACGTCTCATTGATGTGATTAACCCTTTCTGCCAGAGTTTCTGCAAACAAAAGAAATATTTCTCCAGCTAGACCAGATGTCATGTTGTTTACAAGCTCATTTGATGAATGCAATAAGTTTCAAGTCTTAACAGTATTTACATAAAGGGACAACACTTGAAGGGGCCAAAATCAGAAATGACCATTTAAGCTGAAGGCATTCTCTAGAGCAGTGGCTCTCAACCTATTGGCCTGCTGACCGCCAGTGTCTGCATCTGCCAGCAGGAGTAGATTAATATTAAAATGAATAATCTTTAAAATATGATGATTCATCAAATTATAATATGTTGAACTTGAACTGTTCAATTAAAAAAAAAATCATCTTGCTGACACCCCCCTTTGATTCTCTCCCCCATGAGTCGGATAAAGCTCAATAAGACTTGTTTAGCTTGTCAGGTCATCTGGTTATGACCTAACTGCCAAGTCGTCCTTACGTCTTAAATGGTTAAGAACCACTGCTTTATGGCTAGGGAAGCTTCTTACCAGTCCATGGCACCCTCTTCTACTATATATGGTGACATGTTGTGCTTCTGTATATAAATATGTAACATCATTATATGCTGACAAATGCACATAAAATTGATTATGAAGATGAATTTTCGACAACTTTTATCCATAACAGGCCCTACTTATTTAAATAAGTTATACTCAATCAATAACAACAAGAGGAACTCCCAGCAACAGCTGACTGACACAATTGAAAGAGACCAAATTAAATGGCTACATGACTAGGTGATCTCAGAGGAGAAATAACATTGGGGGGGGGAGGGGGGGGGGGGGGGGGGGCGGGGGGGGGGTGTTTGCCATGGTTACAAAGCACCAACAAGAGATTTGGCCGCCCCCCCCCTCCTCACCTGCTCTCTCTGCCTCAGCTATTGAGGTCATGAAGATGCCAATAAACCACTCCAGGGAGTACTGGTACATGGGGTCAATCTTCCCCATGTCCGCCATACAGAAGAACAGGATCTGGGAGTTGATGGCCACAGGGATGTACTGGCTGCGGGTCTCATCAATGATTTTCTCTGTTGTTTCAGCCACTTTCACCTTTGTCTGTGTCACAATAAGAGGATTTAAGAAATCATATGTTTTCATTGTGTAGTGAATTGTCAAAACATGAATTAGAGGGCATGACAGATTCTTTCTCAATGTCTTTTGTTGTTTATCTAACATTTCACAGACTTTACTCTCTCATATTTAAATACAAGTCTGTAATTATCAGTTACAGATGAAAATAACAAAGGAGTCAGACACCATTAGTTGAATTTTTAAAAGAGTTATTAAAATAAGCTGTACACAGCAACAAAAATAAAACAACATTTATTATTTTCTTATTAGTCTGAAGCCAAGCCACAGCTAAAACGCATTTCACAAACAGTAAGAAACCACTGCTTAACCTGGATATCCAGTGCTGCTATCGACTGGACTAAACTGAATCTCATTTGCTGCTTTCCACTGCTTTACCTGGATATTGTGTTCTGTTATCCACTGGCTTTACCTGGATTTCCTGTGCTGTTATCTTGGATGCGTCCAGTGTCTCGATGAGCTCGATGTCGTCCACTGGACTTCCCTGGGAGGCACTGAGCAGGTACAGGATCTTGTCCTCGATCTCCTTCAGCTCAGATTTCATCTTGGCATTGCTGACAATCAGCTGGTTCTTGGAGTCCTCCAGGTCAGGGCGCTCCTCCGCCACCACAATTCCCAGCAGCTGGTCTTGGAGACCACTGATCAGATGAAGGGGGTTGGACAAGAGCAGGCAGTGAGTGAGTTTAACCAAAGCCCAGCATAAATAAGAGTAAGCAGAAAACAACCTTGTGTGTCATATGATGTTTTAAAAAACCCTTCTTTAGACCTGTTTACCCTCACACTCTTAACACTGTACAATAGCATCACAAAATCGTTCAATACATTATCTTAATAGTAAAAAATAAACATACAGTATAAATAATGTATACACCTCAAAATCGTACATTGTACGCCAAAATCGTAAGAGTAAACAGGTCTGCCATCATGTGACCACACAAGGGTGATAATGTTGAGCAATACAAATGAAGGGTTCAAGGGAAAAATCAGTGATGTCAGTTTTTTCAAAATTCCTATGTTATTTCTCTTGTGGCTACATTCCATTTAATAGAATAATATGATACATAGGTCCAACTAAAAAAGCAGCGTAGTCAATAAATAAATACGTAGACATCTTGATATTTTCATACTTTTTGAGGAATTTTCAAACTTAAAATTCAATTTTCTCAAAACTCTCAAAACCTGACATCACTGGTTTTTCCCTTGAGCCCTTCAAATGCAAACAACAATTATTTTTTTTTAATCACATGTTGCTATTTCCTATTAATTTAAAGAAATGGCTAGAGACGGAAGAGCCAAAAGTTACAATTTACAAATTTTCCTAGTTTTTAAAGAGCCACTAACATTTTTATTTCAATAAAATTATTAATATTTGCGCATGGAACTGGAGAGCCCCATCTTGACATCAAAAGAGCCGCAGGTTGCTGACCCCTGGGCTAGAGGGAAAGGTAGCAAGAAAACTATGGCTATGAGAACAACATTAACCTTAGCCCTAAGTATTCAACTATTCTTACAACTGACTACATGAATCCCTGGCCAAAATATGTTTAATTAACATATGGAATCAACATAGTATTGTAAGTATAACACATAAATCCCTGACTTACCTGGGTGGCGGTGCAAAATTGATGATTGTGACCTTGGTGGAGACCTCTGGTGTATATTGAGGTACTACTTACCTGAGTGACAGTGTAAAATTGATTATTGTGACCTTGGTGGAGACCTCTGGTGTATAGTGAGTACTACTTACCTGTGTGACAGTGTAAAATTGATTATTGTGACCTTGGTGGAGTCTTCTTGGTATATGTATAGTGAGGGAACCACTTACCTGAGTGAAAGTGTAAAATTGATTATTGTGACCTTGGTGGAGACCTCTGGTGTATATTGAGGTACTACTTACTTGAGTGACAGTGTAAAATTGATTATTGTGACCTTGGTGGAGTCGTCTTGGTATGTGTACAGTGAGGGTACTACTTACCTGGGTGAAAGTGTAAAATTGATTATTGTGACCTTGGTGGAGACCTCTGGTGTATAATGAGGGTTGGGCAGTTTGCTGGTCATGTAAAACTTAAAGTCTTTGTGGTACGGAATCAGGTTGTCACCAATCTTGATGACCAACGAACCTTGCTGCTTGAATGTCTGAGGTGGGATGTAGGTTATGATTAGATGAACATTCTGACAGAATCAAACAAAAAGGAGCCATGTTGGATAACTAAATTTTTTTTGAGCAGCTACTTTTTGCTCTATAAATGTGTACATTCTAGCAGATCATTTTTAATAGGAAGGCTTGAATTATGAATGCTAATTCTAAAATAAGCTGCATTACAATCATCCCATGCCATCTTAATAGATTATCCCATGTCAACTCACAAGATTATTCCAAGACAGCTTATTTGTTGGAGTAAATATGGTTGTTTGATAATACCATGCAAGGTTGCAAGATTATCCCATGCAAGCCTACACCATACAAGCTTACTCTGCTGAGCAATTTTGATAAAATTCTTGCATGCCATCTAAATAGATTGTACCATGCCAGCTTACAAGATCATCCCATGCCAGCATACAAGAATATGACATGCCATCTTACTTGTCGTAGTAATATGGGTTCCAAAGATGGATCCAGCTCCGAGCCAACATTCTCCATGAGGCAAGGCTTGCCAAATCTGATGGAATTCTCCAGAGTTCTGATAAAATCTTTACTGGACTGTTTGATAACTTCCATTTCATTTTGAGACTCCTGAAATGCCATGTAGAATATGTTGCTTAACTAAAATTAATCAAAAATGAAAAGAGCCATTTGGAAAAATGAGGTTGAATTAATCAAAAAGTTTCAAAAGGCTTTGCATGCCAGGAACTTTAATAATATAATTTATAAAATTTACTTACCATGTTTTTAATCCATTTATTGGCCTGTCCCTGGGGATCTATAAACAACGGCCAGCGGCGTGACAGACTGACAATGACACCGTTCTCCACAGAGTAGTTGTCACCAGGCAAGCCATTGATCTGCCAGCTTCGAATGGTCACCGGGACCCCCATGGTGCTCAGGAAGTTTGGGTCAGGCGAGGAGGGGACACGGTGCTCGACCAAACTTTTGCTCCAGTCAGTAATCATTCGGTTCCTGTAGTCTGCCTGTTTAATGGTGGGTTATTATATTTGTATATTTGGTTCTCTTCTATTATCAAATTTCTTTATATAAAATTTTGTGAAAGGTCGAATGATAAGTCAGACTCACTGTGAAAGGTCCAATGATAAGTTAGACTTAACTGTGAAAAGTAAAATGATAAGTTAGACTTAGTGTGAAAGGTCCAATGATAAGTTAGACTTACTGGGAAAGGTCCAATGATAAGTTAGACTTACCGTGAAAGGTCCAATGATTAAACAGACTTACTGTGAAAGGTCCGAGGTAAGCAACAAAAGCAGCAGATATCAGCACATCTCCAGAGACATTAAAAATCAGCCTCTCATAATTGCTGATAGAGTCGCCCCATCTGTCTTTCTCATCTGCTAAACTGTTGATCAACTGTTGAGAAAAGCCAAATAAAGGAACAAACTGTAATAGCTATGGGCAGCGGAAAGCAAATATTCTAATACACATACTCAGAAAGAGACGGACAGATGATGTGAAGGCGGATGACTCATATCAGCGCTGGGCCCATTCATGGACAAGAAAGGATGTTGTGAAGAGGGCCGGAGCTTCCCATGGGCTACAGTGCCAGTGATGATGGTGGTGAACATAACTTCTTGGTGTCATCATAAAGAGATCTGGGACCCCCGCAGGCAGTATTCTAACCTACAGTGCCAGTGATGATGGTGGTGAACATAACTTCTTGGTGTCATCATAAAGAGATCTGGGACCCCCGCAGGCAGTATTCTAACCTACAGTGCCAGTGATGATGGTGGTGAACATAACTTCTTGGTGTCATCATAAAGAGATCTGGGACCCCCGCAGGCAGTATTCTAACCTACAGTGCCAGTGATGATGGTGGTGACCATAACTTCTTGGTGCCATCATAAAGAGATCTGGGACCCCCGCAGGCAGTATTCTAACCGTCAGAAATACCTATTCACTATATTTTCCTACTTCTTTTCGTCCCTTAAGTCATGTGACATTCTTAAAGCTGTTTATTTTTTTAATGCCATGCCAGCACATGATGTCCAATAAAATTGTAAATGACATCTCTATCCCTTTTCTCAAATGGATTTATAAATTGTTCTAAATTCATTGGATGAAAACTATTTTTACAAATCAGAACTTGGTGACCAAGAAAAAAAGTCCTGTCAAGAACAAAGTGCAAAGGTCATCTGTAAAACATTCAGGTGTAGGTTTATGTTTTTTATACCTGATGTAGTATCTCAGTGCTACAGACTACCCACCAGCCCATGCCTGACAATTAATACTATCCTAAGGTGTCACCAGAAGCTCAGAGCTGACCTTGTCGGCCCGATCCAGGCGACTCTCACAGAGTTTACACTTGTCCTCCAGCACCCTCTTCTTGTTCATGCTGTCATTGTACTTCTTCTGAAGCCTGGCCACGCCAGTCTCAACGTCATACAGCATCTTCTTGGCGTCTGCCAGGACTTTCTCCGTGGCAGCTAGCTCCTCCATGGCCAGCTTCAGCTTCTCCCTCTTGGGCCCGACCGTGATGGCCACAAAGTGGTATTTGTACATGGCGCCGACCCACTGGCAGATGGAGGTGCAAGCTTTTGAAACCTTGAGTGCAAAATTAGGACAAGATAAATTCAACTGGCTGACATAATCATAAGGAAGGTATTATTATTTTGAATGAGTTTAGAGATACTTTTGCTGTGACGCTCTGAGCATACAATCAAGTTTTCTTATTGAAGATCTAAGGCTTCCCACATATCCTCTATTAATTTTTAACTGTAAAAATGTTAATTTTTGTCACAAGATCTAATAAAAAATCTTTGAACTCTTTTGCTGCGGAATTTTTTAATAGAAAAAATGTACATTTTTTTTCAAAGAGCAATAAGGGGTAAGAGGTTGGGTTTATGAAAAAATATTTAAAATATTATTTTGTTGTTTATAAGACTAATCTTGGTATCAAATGAAAGATAATTGAAAGGGCTATATGTTTGTAAACTTATTTCTTCAGTTTAAATAAAATTAGTAAGAGAAAAGAACCATAAAATGTGAAAACATTATATGCTAATCCATTTTTTCTCCAAAACCTATGATTGTTCGCATACCTCATCTTCACTTCTATGACTCAAATGCTCTAAAACTACTACTATCGGAATCATGCAATAGATCTAAAGATAATTCATCTTCACTATCAAAAGAAATAGTATAAAACAATTCCAAAGATTTTTGAGCTGTTAATCGTCTAGGAAAGTTACTCACCTACTAGGGTAGCCATAGCAACAGTAGAAAAAAATGTGAAGAAAATCATTAAAATAACGCTTCAAATGACAACAAATAAACCTTGGTTTCACTTATAAACATTGAAGTACGACTCCTTTATGTAAAAGTCTTATTTAAAAGTAGCTCTTAAAAAGTTTAACAGAGAAATAGTAAAGAAACAAACATGACACTGAAACAACTCGGAGCGCATTCGTCCGTGCTTTTGAGAATGGCGGATGAACGCACTGTGTGTTGTGCCGGATGAACGCACTGTGTGTTGTGCCGGATGAATGCACTGTGTGTTGTGCCACAGCCAAAGAGTTAACACCCTCCTTGAAAAATGTATTTGTCTGTAAACATTTTAAAAGTTGCCAATTTCTTCCAAAGTGGTTAATCGTTGCCATATCAATGCATTATCTGTACTGAAGCAAACCTTGGCAATGGCTTGGGGTGTAAAGTTTGGATCGTTAATGTATGGTGTTATCTTCTTGATGACCTCGTTAGGAATGTTGTCTTTGTCATACTGGAACAGGCTGTCCAGGAACTTCTGGGGATCTTGAAGCTGAGCTTTACCCACTTCCCAGTAGTCATCAACTTTTGTACCTGGCTGTAGTCAGAGGAGGAGATGGTTATACATTTGATCATTACTGAATCTCCCCCACCTAAAAAAAAAAATAGGGGGGGGGGTATTATGCCTGAAGAATGTATACCAAATGTTGGGACTGCTAGAAAAGACACAGGTCCCTTATGGTTGATGTGCTTAAGAGAAATGCTAAGAGCTATATCTCTACGTGAAGAAGTTTTGTTGAAATTTTATTGAAAAATTGCTCTATTGTAATAAATAAAGCTAATTCCTGAATTATTCTGTCATATTTAAAATAATGTGATAAAAAGTGAGATTTAATGCTAAAATAATGTCATATGTCAAATAATTAGATGGATAGTAGTAACAAGATGCTCTATTTAACAGCAATGACAATTTTTTATTTTGAAGTTGTGTCATGAAATATAAAAATGCAGACTGGAATGTGTGTATTTTTGTTAAGATAAGGATATATGCCATTGTGACCATATCTCCAGTGGATGATTGATGTAATTGTGCCCTCTCTCCAGTAGATGAATGTAATTGAGACCTTATCTAAAGCAGATGATGATGTTTGTGATTGTGACCTTATCTAAAGCAGATGATGGTGTATATGATTGTGACCTTATCTAAAGTAGATGATGGTGTATGTGATTGTGACCTTATCTAAAGAAGATGATGGTGTATGTGATTGTAACCTTATCTAAAGCAGATGATGGTGTGTGCGATTGTGACCTTATCTAAAGTAGACAATGGTGTATGTGATTGTGACCTTATATAAAGTAGACAATGGTGTATGTGATTGTGACCTTATATAAAGCAGATGATGGTGTGTGCATGTGATTGTGACCTTATCTAAAGCAGATGATGGTGTATGTGATTGTGACCTTATCTCCTGCCACTTTCTTGGGTTGGATCTGTTTCATGATGCATGTTGCCTCCATCACCAGTTTGACACCAGGTGGCGGCCTCTGTAGCGCTCTCACTTCTGTCACATCATTTTTGTTCAGTGACTTCAAACTGGACAGAGCCGATTCCTGCAAGTAAGCAGCAGGACCAATTGTAATTACAGAGTATCAAAGTTTTTTTTTAAAATAACAATTTCAACAAAGTTGTTCTAGAAAGCGTATTGGGAATAATAAACATTTTGGCAACATAATAACAGTTTTTTGTAATTTCTTTACAAAATCTGATTGCTAGCATCAGCATGGGGGTGTATGCAGTTCATTGGTTGGCTTGAACATTTATAAATTCAGGCACAGCAACCATTATTTTATGGTCCAAGGCAGTGGTAAAAGATTGAAATATATAAATTTTTTGGCGGCAATAGCGCTTCTGCAAGCTGAATAAAGATCAGCGGCCAGGGCGTTGACGAGAGTTGAACATATATCAACCTGAACAAAGCATAATCTTTATATGGCTCTCATTGGGGCAACATATCAACCTGAACAAAGCATAATCTTTATATGGCTCTCATTGGGGCAACATATCAACCTGAACAAAGCATAATCTTTATGTGGCTCTCATTGGGGCAACATATCAACCTGAACAAAGCATAATCTTTATATGGCTCTCATTGGGGCAACATATCAACCTAAACAAAGCATAATATTTATATGGCTCTCATTGGGGCAACATATCAACCTGAACAAAGCATAATCTTTATATGGCTCTCATTGGGGCAATATATCAACCTGAACAAAGCATAATCTTTATATGGCTCTCATTGGGGCAATATATCAACCTGAACAAAGCATAATCTTTATATGGCTCTCATTGGGGCAACATATCAACCTGAACAAAGCATAATCTTTATATGGCTCTCATTGGGGCAACATGAGAGGTAAACACCTACTTAATGTGAACCAACTCTTTGAATAACTAATTTAAAAATATCAATGACATAAATTAATAAACATAAAATTGAAAACCTCCCCCTGGGTGATGCTATGGAATATGAAGCCCCCCCCCCCAATTTAAAAATATCAATGACATAAATTAATAAACATAAAATTGAAAACCTCCCCCTGGGTGATGCTATGGAATATGAAGCCCCCCCCCCACACAAGATCAAGGTTGGTGTGTATCAAAGACTGACAAGAAGACAAATAAGACAACAGACGTATTTCATTTGCATTGAGGCCACAAGTGAGGGAACAGACGTATTTCATTTGCATTGAGGCCACAAGTGAGGGAACTGACGTATTTCATTTTCATTGAGGCCACAAGTAAAGGAACTGATGTATTCCATTTTCATTGAGGCCACAAGTAAGGGAACTGACATATTTCATTTTCGTTGAGGCCACAAGTAAGGGAACTGACGTTTTCCGTCCTTACCAAAGCAGGCAGGGCTTCAGCTAAATCTTTCTGTGCATCAGCTGCTATAGCTTCAGTCTCCATGGCTTTCATGGATGCCAGCTTCTCTTCAGCTTGGACGTGTTGCTTTGTCTCCTCAGCAATAGCCTGTCAGTCAGACATTTAAAAAGGTGGGTAAAGAGGTGCTCTCTTTCGGTGTTGTAAGGTGGGATACAAATGTAGGCGTGTGATCATGTAGGCCTTTCATTCCTTACAATGTTTACTATTTTCAGTCAGAGGGCAAGGTTATCCCTGTGTTGGACTCAAAAGGGAGTTATAATAATTGTTTTTTGTGGCAGAATTCCTGCCATTTTGTCTTTATCTTTAAATGCTAAATCTAAAATGGTAAGAAATTTTCATATTTTATTCATTACCCCTGATAGTTCAGATAAATATTCTTAATTCTTTGTATAACCAAAATAAAATAATTTATTTTAAGAAATCTTCATCATTTGAATCATGCATTCTCTGAAAACTGAATAAAGTAAAAGTTTTGAGCCAATAATAAGCAGTAATAATCCAACTACTGACTGTGTCTTTAGATATCTCCTCCATTGTGACTATGGCTATTTTCACAGCTTTCTCCAACTCTGGACTCATCACAGCCAGTTCCTCTTGTAGCTTAGCCACCTCCTTGGTGGTTACCAAAATCTGAAATGTTCAAACAGCTCACTTCAAACTGTGACACTAAACAAACTCTGAGCTATTCTAAACAATGGAAGCTTAAAATGGCAGGCCCTTCCACTACCCAGGCATCCAGCTCAAACTGGTTGGCCTCCTCATTTGCCAAGGCATCCAGCTTAGAATGGTGTCCCCCTTCATTTGCCAAGGCACGCAGCTCAAAATGTTGGGCCCTTCACTTGCCAAGAGGTCCAGCTCAAAATGGTGGGCCCCTTCACTTGCCAAGGCATCCAGCTCAAAATGTTGGACCCTTTCACTTGCCCCAGGCATCTATTCCCTTAAAAGCTTCTTACAGAGTTCAATTCTTGGCTGCACACAGAACAAGATTTAACAGGTGTTTTGGGTAACAAAAGCTTAATGAAGTCCTATACAGTGGCTAAAACCTTGGTTTTTAATAAAAGGTAATTTTAACTACAAGAAACACAAAACTGCTGTTACTTTAATCATTCCTTGTATTATTCAATATATTAAAATGAAATTTCTGGTTGTCAAATTTCATTTTGTAAAATGGCAAATGCTACAAGTACTTTAGTAGAAAGTTTATGCATTTCAAATTCAGGTGTAACCTTCCATTCTGGAATAAATATGTGTTATTTTGGGTTTTTTTTGCAATATGTTCGCAAGCCTCAGTTTGATTAGCAATTAAAAATTATTTTTAAAAAACTAGATCCTACTTTGTCTAAACCAGTTTTAAGTCTCATGCTGGCTAGAGTTAGTTCCCCTTTCTTCTTGCTGACCAGCTGTGAGAACAGGCCCAGCAGCTCCAGGTAAGACGTTGGGGTAACATAGTTGTGTCTGGACATTTCTTCTAGAAAACGCAGAGAGTTTATGGTCACCGACTCATGGATTATCTGACACATGGCCACCTGCGGGGAAAAAGGGGGGGGGGGGGGATTAAAGCGGTTAGGTCTCATAAAGATCTACAAGTTAACATTGAAGAAATAATTTTAATACTAACGTACCAATGACCTTATCAGATTAATGTGAAATAAAATTAGATCTACAATGAATGCAATCTATTTTGTACAGAACTAAACACATGATTAAAGCGGTTAGGTCTCATCAAGATCTACAAGTTAACATTGAAGAAATAATTTTAATACTAACGTACCAATGACCTTATCAAATTAATGTGAAATAAAATTAGATCTACAATGAATGCAATTTCTTTTGTACAGAACTAAACACATGTTTGGCATATTTGTTAATGTTCTTCACTGAAAAAATGTGTCTATTCACTGCAAATTAATCACAGCTGCTTATTTATACAATCAATCATTCAAGGTATTGTATAATAATATTTCTGCTTTATTTTTTGGCAATCAATTTTGTTGTAAATAGCTCTGTAAACTCCTTCTAAAAATGTCAAAGTATTTATTTTATAGTTTTTTTTTCAAAAGATTTAAAACGTGTAAAGGCAGAGCATAAAAAGAGATTTGGGTAGGTATTGGAAAACGGCTTGAAGACAAACAATAATTATTACAATAAATATTTTAGTTACTATTTATTTACTGGTGCTGTTTCTAAAAGCTATTTATCGAGTAGACTTACAAGAAAAAAATGTTAGGGCATTTATTAATTTAAAAATTTTAAAAGAGACTTTCTATCAAAGATGAGTTTAAACCACTAAAAAGAAGATTTATTTTTAAAAATTTCTTAAAATGCATTACCCAAAGAAACACTTTGCAGAAGTGCTGATTAGCACTCTATGAACCAAAAGGATTGAAACTGAATGTGGGCAATACTTAAAATATTTTCTAAACAGACTTTTTATTTTTATTTTAAGAAAGCTTATATTATTTTATACTTTTTAGTGGTTTAAACTCGTCTATGATACAATTTAAAAAAAAAATTTTTTAATTTAATTTAATATTTAATTTGCTACCTATAAGAATTCAATTTTTTTTTTTAATCCCCAAATTCCTACAACTCTCATACAGCCCCCGCCCCCTTTTTATCATGCAGTTCACTGAACAAAGCATATGTGATGTTGACACAACTCAGATGTGACCTTACAGATGACCACGAGAATGCCAGCTCAGTCACTGAACAAAGCAGATGTGATGTTGACACAACTCAGATGTGACCTTACAGGTGACCACGAGAATGCCAGCTCAGTCACTGAACAAAGCAGATGTGATGTTGACACAACTCAGATGTGACCTTACAGGTGACCATAAGAATGCCAGCTCAGTCACTGAACAAAGCAGATGTGATGTTGACACAACTCAGATGTGACCTTACAGGTGACCACGAGAATGCAAGCTCAGTCACATATGCAAAAAAACAAAATTTACAAAAAAGAAGATGGAAATGTGAAGAGAGAGAGAGTCTTGAAAAAAACAACTTGAAGACATTAAAGAGCATCTGTAGATTCTTTGCTGAACCATGTGGAGTTTGCACTGGGAATGCACCTACTTGGGTGGCACCACTGACATAAATGATAGATCAGGAGCAGATGTCGGGCTAGAATAGGTTAGCTTTTGTGGTGTTCAAGAAAAACTATGGGAATCAAAGGAGCTGACACAGCAAACTAAATTTTAGAAATTTTCAACACAAATGTCAAATCAGTCCCACTCTGAGGAGCCAAAACTTGGAGAACAACAGCAAGCATCGTGCAGAAAGTACAGACCTTCACAAATGCGTGCCTTAGAAAGATCCTGAATATAAAATGGCGAAACATCATCACCAACAAAGAAGGCAATGAGTAAAACAAAATAAGGTCAAACCTGAAAAAAAAGAACGCAAAAAAACAACTAAAGTGTCGGCAGTTGAGTCTTCGTCAGCGAACAAACAAAAGAAAAAACAGAATAAAATTTTTAAATATCCCTTAGCTGAGACGTAGTATCAGAGAGGGCAGCAAAAGTTTTACTCGTTGCCTTTTTTGCTAACCTGACTGCAGTATCTCCCCTTTTCACCAACAAAGACTTACTGGAGAGGACATACCAAGAGCCTATTGCTGAAGACATCATAAGGGAAAGATCCATGTGGATAGGGCACACTCTTCGTAAACCCCAACATAACATTACCAGACGATCCCTAACATGAAATCAACAGACAATCCCTAACATGAAATCAACAGGGAAAAAGAAAGACAGGGCAGCCAAAGAATACATGGTGACGCTAGCTAGAGGCAGACACACAAAGTATGGGATACACCTGGAAGCAACTGGAAGTAATACACAGGAAATAGATGAATGGCAAATTCTTGTGGACAGCCTATGCCCCAGGCAGGGTAAAAGGCATAATAAGTCATTCAAATTATAATTTTTTAGTTTTGGTTTCCAATAAAATGTGTCCATTTGTATATTATGCAATCGAAATTAAAACTTGCACCTGTGTTAGACATCATGGTTTGCTCTGCACTCACCAATCCTTTTGTAGCCTCCTGGCCAAAGTCTAAGTCTCCGATATCATTAAGGAACCTGAGTGCCACTGAAAGAAGTGCATCGGCTGGCCAGGGACTGAACCAATCTATTGTACAGCAGTTCACCAGAGCAGGGAACTGACGCAGTCGAGATCGGAAGATTTCTCCCAGTGGACTGAAAATTGTGGCAGATATAATTGACCGTGAATAATAATCTCTGGTTGTGGTTCATGATTTGTGTCAACTGCCGCCTCTTCAACACTCAATAATACAACATTACAATACAATTTTAGCCTTAAAGCTTTCATTTAATAAATAGGTTAGAATTCAACTGTGTCTTGCCACAGGGAAAACATTTACTGCAGTTGTTTTTAAATCTTAATTGAAAGAAAAAGCTGTAGCACTAGCCTCATGGTTATGACGGTGTGCAGGTTGCTCCTGACCCTCTTGGTGTACGTGGAGAACATGATGGTCTTGGTAGCCTGCAGCCCTGCATCCATAACAATGGGCTTCATATCTTTAAAGATGTTTTCATTGTCATCAAGACCATAGAGGTTTGGTACGTCCCCTGTGTTCAGAATGTTGTTGAGATCTTCAAGAAAAGATTCGTTTTTTATCTGTGGACAATGTTTTTTTTAAAATTAGGTGTAAGTGGAGAACATGGAGGTCTTTCGCCAAAGACAAATTAAAAAAAAAATGTATTGTACCTGAATCTAACTTTTAGGGTATTCAAAAATTTCCTTACCTCTGTATCACTGAACAATGCGACAACATGTTCTGTTCTTACCTGCATATCACTAAACAATGCAACAACAGGTTCTGTTCTTACCTGCGTATCACTAAACAAGAAAACAACAGGCTCCTCTCGCAAGCCAGCCTTCATCATAACCTTCTTTAAATCTTCGTGCCAGTCATGAACTCCATAGTTCTTGGTTAGTTCAATTTGGAAGCAGTCATATTCTGAGCTGAGATTTAAGTCAGATGGACAGTTCAACATAACGCAAATCTTCAGTGTGATAGAATACTTACTACTACAACCAGGATAGATTTCTTGGGAAATGATCAATTTTAAATAGAGTGTTAAACAGTTTTAAGAACTATGATAAGCAATTCTCATTAAGTAAATTTTTTTTTTCAAATGTAAATTTTGTCCATTACGCCCTTATTTATGTATTCCATTAGGCAAAGTCAACATTCTGATTGATGGTTTGGGTAATGAATGAAAATATTTGGGGAGGACTGGTCTTGTTTGTACATCAAAACCCACACATAAATGTCAACATACATGTGGGCAGAGAGCTTGGTCAAGCTCTGCCTTCCACTGCCGCCCATGCCCAGCAGCAGGGCGTTGCCCAGGGGCTGTCGTAAAATTCGAGAGATCCGGCTAACATGGGCGATGGCATCCATGAACAGCACAAGCTCCATTTTTTTATTGGATGCCAGGTTATACTCTCCTAGATATTCATCCATGCACTTTTGAGCCTGAAATTAAAATGGCAATGGTTTTAATTAAGGTGTCCAGATTTTATAGCAAGTAACACTGGCTGCTCTGCTGACATGACCAGTGAACTTCAGGGCCAATGCCTTACTGCGAAGTTCTAACATGATATGACTGGAGTATCCTCTCCAATCAGAATTAACTAAAAAATATGACTTAATTCTATAATTTATTAGTTTAAATTCCCTTCAATCAACTTCATTTTTTAAAAATTCCTGGCAAAATTGCATTAAAAAAAATTGATATGTAGAAAAGTCATGCATTAAAAAAAATTGATATGTAGAAAAATCATATGAAGTATGCATTTTCCCATTTTACTATTACTTTGCATATTCTATGTGATCAACACAAATACAGTTTTTAGTCCTACAAATACAAAGTACAACAAAACATATGCTTAGATCATGAGATGGTTATATGTTGTTTTTTTGTAGTTCTTATTTTGTTTACAACTTGCAGTTGTTCTGTGTGGGTCAACAGGTGTTCTGTGTGGGTCAGCAGGTGTTCTGTGTGTGTCAGCAGGTATTCTGTATGGGTCGGCAGGTGTTCTGTGTGTGTCAGCAGGTGTTGTGTGTGGGTCAGCAGGTGTTCTGTGTGGGTCAGCAGGTGTTCTGTGGGTCAGCAGGTGGTCTGTGTGGGGCAGCAGGTGTTCTGTGTGTGTCAGCAGGTGTTGTGTGTGGGTCAGCAGGTGTTCTGTGTGGGTCAGCAGGTGTTCTGTGTGTGTCAGCAGGTGTTCTGTATGGGTCGGTAGGTGTTCTGTGTGTGTCAGCAGGTGTTGTGTGTGGGTCAGCAGGTGTTCTGTGTGGGTCAGCAGGTGTTCTGTGGGTCAGCAGGTGGTCTGTGTGGGTCAGCAGTTGTTCTGTGTGTGTCAGCAGGTGTTGTGTGTGGGTCAGCAGGTGTTCTGTGTGGGTCAGCAGGTGTTCTGTGGGTCAGCAGGTGGTCTGTGTGTGTCAGCAGGTGTTCTGTGTGGGTCAGCAGGCGTTCTGTGTGGGGCTGCAGGCGTTCTGTGTGGGTCAGCAGGTGTTCTGTGTGGGTAAGCAGGTGTTCTGTGTGGGTCAGCAGGTGTTCTGTGTGGGACTGCAGGCATTCTGTGTGGGTCAGCAGGTGTTGTGTGGGACTGCAGGTGTTGTTAGTGGGGCAGCAAGTGTTCTGTGTAGGGCAGCAAGTGTTCTGTGTGGAGCAGCAGGGGTCTGAGTGGGTCTGCAGATGAAAATAAAGGTAAATATTTAAAAGATGATCATTACGTTCATAACAACTCACAGCGGAGTGCTCATTGATAAGCAGGTACGGCCTTGGCTCCATGTCCGTACTCAGATAGTCCCCATAGATAACTGGGCGTACCACCACCACATCCTGCATCTTGACTTTAAAATCGGTCAGCATCTTCTCCTTCAGTATGTCCTCAAATGCCATCCTGTCGGCATCATCCACCAGGCGGTCTTGGAAAACACGGCAGCACTCATGGTACCAGAGGCGCAGAATGTCTTTCACAGTCTGTGGAGGTTTTGGCTCGATAAATAAAGCTCCCCTTGTTCTACTGCTAGCAGTGCCTACAATTTTTATAAACTCATCAGTAAAAGCTCTATCATCCATCAGAGTGTAATGTTATGAAATGCATGCAACAGTAACTAACACACAGTAATCTAAAACACCAAGTAAATAGAAGATTGATGGGCTCATTGATTTAAATATTGAAATTATTGGAAGAAACAAATCAAAGAATGAACTGAGCCATTAAAAAAAACAGCAATTTCTACAATGTAGTGAAAACAATTTTTGACTGTGAATTTTTTAAAATGCTTGTAGCATGTACAAACAGGAAAGGACTACAATCAAGAATGAACCTTGTTCTCATCATGGTCTCCCATCAGGATGCCCTGGAAGACTTTGGAGAGGTCTCTCAGGTTGAAGGTGTAGTGTGATTTGGCCGGTGTGGGCAGCATCTGCTTCTGGACAATGTTGTACATGCTGATGCTGGAGAGGACCAGCTGGTTGCACAGGTTGGCGATGGTTGGACAGCTGCCTGTCAAGTACACATACAGGTTGCTTGCAGTTAGAGGATATAACAAATGTCTTTCCCGCCCCCCCCCCCCTTTAGCACTTGTCAAGTTGTATGTTATCGTGTTATGAACTGTTGTGGATGTATTTTGTTGATTGGGTTATCTCTTTCACCTGTGACAGGTCAAATCAAGGGGGTTTAAGCTTTCCTTTTTGTTAACTTCCACAAACCACATATTATTGAAACTTGTAACAGTTCTCCGTCACACAACCGTCCTACCACAACCACCTCAGCCCCCCCCCCCCCTTGTGTCCATCTGTCAATGTGTTGTGGTGCCCGGTAATTTTAAGAGTGTACAAGGAACTCACTTATCCAAAATTCTAGAATAGTGCTGAATATCTTAAACAGACTGGCATCCTCCATGGCAGTGAAAGCCAGGAAATTAAAATGTCTCAGGAGCCGGGCAGTGACAGGGTTCCTGCCCCCTCCTGGAGGGCCCATGGCACTAATAAAGTTCACATCAGCCAAAAGTCGGAACTCTCCTGATTTTGAATACAATTTAGGTTTAATTACTTTAATCTAAGTCAAACTCCTATTTTCTGCAGCAGATTATTTGAAGGAAAGAAATTACCATTTTAACAATATAACCTGGGATTCATTCATCTAAAATGATAAATTCTTAATCCATTTTAACAATATAACCTGGGATTCATTCATCTAAAATGATAAATTCTTAATCCATTTTAACAATATAACCTGGGATTCATTCATCTAAAATGATAAATTCTTAATCCATTTTAACAATATAACCTGGGATTCATTCATCTAAAATGATAAATTCTTAATCCATTTTAACAATATAACCTGGGATTCATTCATCTAAAATGATAAATTCTTAATCCATTTTAACAATATAACCTGGGATTCATTCATCTAAAATGATAAATTCTTAATTGACACCTCCAATCAATGTGCTCTTCTTCTTCAAGATTACTATTAAATTATGGAGTAGAATGATAATTTGTTTTGTTTCTTGAATTTATAAATTACAATCATATTGCTTTGATCGAAATCTCCTACTCTATGGTGCTAATCGGTACAGTCAGTTACAATGCTCTGTGAGAAAATAAGTGAACTTTGTCTCTTCCAATACCTTTTCAACTATGTCATTTTAAATATTTTTGTTCTAACTCATTGACTTTTTATTGTATTTAATGGCTCATAATATTACAAACAGGTTTAAAAAGTAGAAATTGTACTGACCTATGGCTTTGCGATCATACCATCCTTGAAAGTCCATGTACTGCCTGATGAGTTCTATTGGTGGCTGTGCCCCATAGGTCTCCAGTGCTGGCATGTTCAGGTCATCAACAAAGAATACAATGTACTTTCCTAGGGGCGGACCAAAGATCCCTTTTCGCCTTTAGATAAATTTGGAGAGTCAGAACCAGAGTTGTTGAGTTGAGAGACTGTTTCTTATGTAACAAGGGGGCAAGCCATACAGATGCCAAAGATGTTTAGGTCAGCTGTTTCCAGTGTGAGTCAATGTTCTTTATTTCTGTCTTCTTGTTGGCAACAACCTAACAGTCAGCTTGCGAACAAGACAACTAAATGACCATTAAGAACATGCTTGAGCTTTCAGGGTTGACAACTATGTGATAGTAACTTGAAGACAGGACAACTATGTGACAGTAAACTCAAAGACATGAAAACTATGAGACAGTAAACTTGAAGACATGACAACTATGTGACAGTAAACTTGAAGACATGACAACTATGTGACAGTAAACTTGAAGACATGACAACTATGTGACAGTAAACTTGAAGACATGACAACTATGTGACAGTAACTTGAAGACATGACAACTATGTGACAGCCAAAAAAACTGACACTGCAACTCTCTGACCGTATGAGCGTGCATTAACGTATAGTGTCTAGCAATTGACACTTTAGATAGAGTTCTCCTCCCAGCACCAGAATGCCCGCTCACCTTTTGTCCAGCTTCCCATCGATCAGATCCTGAGTCTGATTGGCCGAAGTCTTAGCGGAGAAGTTGATAAACTCTGGCAGGAATTCATCAGACAGCCCACGCATCAGTTTGTCCAGTATGGTTAGTGTCTTGCCAGTCCCGGTTGGGCCCACAGACAGGAGCTGCAGATGCAGTTCATAAAGTCACGGATTAAGCAGAATCAAAATGAGATGTGGCCCGGTTGCTGACAGATTTTTTTACAGTTTAGAATAAAAATATTTGTCCCCTCCAGTGATTTAAAAGTGATTCTTAAATAAATAAAAACATTTCCTGGGTACTAAATATGACACCCTGTTATTTTGTATCTACAATAGCATCTATTTTTATGGGGAAATTAAGGAAACCTTTTTTTTTTCATCTAAACAAACTAAAAAATATGTCAATTTTTAGTTAAGGATTTTGTTTACTACAATAAGTATCTCACTAAAGTTTTCTTTCGTGTTATATTTAAAAAAAAAAATAATTAATTATTAGAGCTGCTACATGAAAAATTACACCATTAACTTGTAAGGTTTAACTACGTCATGCCAGCTGTTAATTGGTGAGGGAAAAAAAATTGGGGGTGAGGGGGTATTGTGGTGGGAAGGGTGAATCATGACACAGACATTATTGATAAAGAAAAAAGATTGAATTCAATGGTGAAAAAGAACTTATCAGTAAAGGACGAATCCATGTTTCTTATCTCGACAGCAAACACAAAAGACATCAGGGATTTATCAAACGATAAAATTATTTTAAAATATGAGAAGACTCATTTCCCAACTACCTCTCATTACAGTGTTGAACGGTCCCACATTTTGATATTCCCAAAACAAACAAGGCCAGCATTCACCCTCTCCTTATTTACTACTTTTCAGCATGAAAGCAGATCCAGTGTTGTCAATGTTGGGTGCCATGATGTCCGAGTATTCCCCATTACTTATAATATTATTAAAAAAAACACATAAACATCAATAATATTGTACAAAGACCCACCCATAGCCGCAACAATTAAAAAAGGCAGACTGCGCTGGACAGGACATATATCCAAAGGATGCCGGATTGTATTGAAAAAAGCAAAAGTGATCTACAGGCAGAAACCTAGGGGCAGGCGGCTCACCGGTTGACCAAGACTAAGATGGATTGACAATGTGGAGAAGGACTTACACCAGCTAGGGGGCTTCGCGTATGGAGGGGATAGCCGTGGACAGAACCAAATAGTAGGTTGTGGAGGGGCAGGCCAGGGCCCTACATGGGCTGTAGCGCCACTGATGATGATAATAACAAACACACAAGCAAGATCCAGTATTTACCCTCTTCTTGTTGACTATGAACATATTGAGTATGAAGGCAGATCGAATGTTGTCGATGGTTGGTACCATGATGTCCGAGTACTTCATCTCTGGCTGGACTTGATACTCACCTCTGCCATGGAGCCAGTTAAGCCATCTGATTGACTTCATCAGGAGGACACAAGGGTCAGCGTAAATTCAAGAAATACAATTGTTTTAATATTAAATCTGTATTGGTTAATGTTTTGTTAATCATGAGAATTTAATTTCATTTTTTTTAAATTTAACTTTACACATTATGTTTGTTAATTGTCAAATTTCGTTGAAGGTGTGGCAACAATTTTTATATTGGGGTCATCTATTTCATCATGTTTCCACACTGACTGTTGTAGGATTATTTCTTTGGCCAAGTCAAAGTAATGTATTTTGTTAAAATCTTCACGTATTTGGTCAAGTCGGAGTATTGTATTTGGTCAAGTTGAAGTCATGCATTTGGTCAAGTTGAAGTCATGCAACTGGTCAAGTTGAAGTCATGCATTTGGTCAAGTTGAGGTCATGCATTTGGTCAAGTTGAAGTCATGCATTTGGTCAAGTTGAAGTCATGCATTTGGTCAAGCTGAAGTCAAGCATTTGGTCAAGTTGAAGTCATGCATTTGGTCAAGCTTAAGTCAAGCATTTGGGCAAGTCGAAGTCATGCATTTGGTCAAGTTGAAGTCATGCCTATGGTCAAGTTGAAGTCATGCATTTGGTCAAGTTGAGGTCTTGCATTTGGTCAAAGTCCTCTCACCCTTTCTCCACCTTCCTCTTCCTCCTCCTCTTGGCTCACTATCCCAGCATCATCCAGTTTGTAATCATAGACTAAGCCAACACTGGGAAACTTCAATGCAATCTAAAATGTTGGAAACAAATGCCAGAGTTGATAAAATTCTAAGCTTGTACAGTACACGGTTTAACTTTCTCCCAACAGCCCCTGGCTCATAACGCTTCAAGTTACAATTTTTTGTTTTTTAATTAACACCTCACATCCCCCCCCCACCCCCCAGCAGTACAACCTAAAAATAACTTTTCTTGAAACAGTTAGTCTTAGTAATAAATTTGGAGGTTATTCCCCATCATTTTCAGACAGTTGTTTTCTTGAGATGTCTTGTTTTGTAACTTTATAAACCGTAGCTGAATTCTAAAACAAAATTCTATCTTTATTTAACAAGAACCATCCCACAAGTCTGCTTACATTATTGTCTGCCATAGTCTGTCTCAGCCAGGCATCAAATTTGACACGGCTGTCATTGTCACATGATGCCCCCAGAGACCAGACGAAGGAAAATATGAACCAAGGCTCGATGAGATCAGCCAGTCTGGGCACATTGTCTTCAGAGATGATATCGGTCTTTAGGAAGAAACAGTGATATAGTTTGTCATAGATAATTGTTGTGCAAGTTGACGGAAGTGTCCGACATAATTCATTTATTGTCACATTTTTAATGTGTAAATAGCTCAAAATGCACTTCCATTGGGCCGAAACTGCCGTTAAGTCAACAGCGGAACTGGGGAGCAAAGATAGATTCAACAGAAGGCTGCCCTAATTTTTAGTGTTATATGAGGCTTTAATGCAAATAGTGTATGTACTAATTTAATAAATTTTTGCTAGCAACTTTTTTAAGGTCACCCACAGCACACTTAATTTTGATCTCTTTGAACAGTAGAGGAAAATAATGGTGCTATGTGTAAGGACAGTAAGGGGAGTTTATTCGAGGGGAGGTAATAAAAAGTCCATTGATTAAATGTGTTACTTATGTTCTATTTGTACTAAAGGATTGTTCAACAATGTATATTTTTTTCTCAGCCACAAAAACAACCTATTTCATGTCTGATTTCCTCTCAAAAACTTATAAATGGTAACTTTGTTCTGGTTTTGGCTGTATGCTGGGCCAATCTCAAACTACTTATGAATGATTTAAATTTTTCCTCATTGTAAAAGTCGTAATTTACTTTAAGGTTAAAAGCAGCAGTCCACATGTGAAATAGCAAGTCCTCAACATTTCATTTTTCTAATTGGGTTCGTTTCTTTCGACTTCAACTAAATGTTGAGATAACATGGTCAAGTGGCTCAGATAAGATCACATTTTACTTCAGCTTGTAAAATCCTCCACTTCAACTTACATTCTTTGAAAAGTGATCGGCGATTCCTAAAACTGCCTTTCAGCTATAAACACAACCAAAGGCATTAGGTAGCACAACTTAAAATACTTACAAGTTTTTGGCCAAGCTGCAAATGAAGAATGTTTTCAATAATGAAATTGTAAACAAGCCATATAAAAGTAATTGAGTGCTTAAGAGGAAAATTAATAATGTTACAACATTGGGTGTGGTAAAATGATGATCTGTGTGTATTAATGAAAGGCATCTGAAACAAGATCTAAGAAGAGTCCTCATTGTTCTTGATTTATTGCTTGTTTTCATTATTAGTTTTTAAAAATCTGTCTTAAAACTTAAAATTTATTTGGCAAAAACCTCAAGAGGATACAAATCTTTAGTGTTAATCGTAAAAATAATCACATTAAGTGTTGTTGTTTTTTTTCAGAGCTAAAAACATATGGGAATACAACACCTGAAAAGTAAACTGAGTCAAGTGTTTAACAGAAGGTTTACAGTTTTGACCCACCCACCTTTAATTTTAGAGGACTTATAAAACAGTCAATTATTTTGGTGAGGCTGAAAATCAGGCCAGTGTCCATGGTGCCCACAATCTCGGTCAAGTTGCTCCTTACAAATGAAAGCCCAGGCTGAAACATACCATGATGCAATACACTGACAGCTAGAGACAAACATAGTGATAGTAATTGCTCCAGTTAGATGATAGAAAAATGAAAAAAAAAAGATCCTGAGGTTTCATCAGCCATTCATGAACACTGAGCTAATAACAACAAAGAATTGGTCAAAATCACCATGTTAATGCACTAACATCATATAATCAATATGGTTCTTAAAAGCATTAAATTTAGTTAGTTTTATCAGTGGACTTACAATGAGAAAAGTTTTAAACAGTTTTTCTAACGCATCATTGTAGACTTTGATAGATGGGGGAACAGTTCGCAGCCAACATTCAATTAGTGGCCAAATCCCCAGAACTGATGTCCCTAAATACACCATGCCACAGCGGCTCACAGTGGCAGGGGAGGCCACTGCTAAATCTGCTACTTCAAACATCATTGTCATGTGCTGAAATCAATCAGTTTGAAAGAGGATATAAAGGTTGTTTCAGTTAAGTGATATAAAATAACAAACAAAATTACAGATTTTAGTTTATGGATGTTATTGAACACACAAGGCACAATCCTTGCGGAAAGCTGAAACCAAGTGAGTTAAGCAGATTTAACTTAGAATACTTTTATCCCACACAGCCTTCAGGCTCGAAGTTGTGTGAGCCAGGAACCTTTCAGATCATCATAGTTGGTCCACTCAACACATAAAATAGGTTGATAGCATAATAAAAATTTTTTTTGTATTGTCCAAGCCCTATAAAGCTTTTAGTAAAAAAAAATGTGTTGCTTTTTTTATGTTGACTGATAAATGTCAAGATTATAATGATCACCTCAGACAGCTTGATAATCTCTCCACTGCTGAGGCACAGCTTTTTATTGTCATCCAGCACTGTGTTCATGTTCTCGATCCAGACTGCATCCACAGGTCCATCGAAGACATACCATCTCTTGTCAGTGTTGGTAGCGGTGGTTCCCACGCGGATCAGTGTTGACAGAATACCATCAGTCCTGGCAATACACATATGTATTAGTGGATTTGTGTTGCAATTGAATCAGATTTCAACCCTTGCAAGCATGCAGCTGCTTTAAACTAGATAACTATAGTGTGCCAAAAATGGGATATATATCAAAACAACTTGTCTCCATACATCCAGAAGATAAGACTCTCGTATTCATCCAAATAAATGGAAATGTTTTTTTTTATTACATTGTACATATTCATTTTCAACACATAAATAAATACATATTTTAACCAAGTCAACATATTACAATTATAACAATTTAAACACAAGACATCTAAGGTACATCTCTGGCGTAGAAATCAGACATCAATGAACTCCCAGGGTGACAATAATGAGTTAATTAGTGATTATTTAGATTTTGTAACCTTGTGGGAACATGCTGGTAAATTTGTACAGACTGGGAAACAAAATAATTTGTATATCTTTCGGTCCTAACTTTGAGAAAAAGAATTCACCCTAATCGACCTGATCTTTAGGCATCTGTGATGAAGAGGGTGGGATTTTATCATCCAAATGTTTTTAGTTTTACAACAGGATATGTCATTCAAATAGTTCATCAAGTGAAGGATGTTTAGTGAACTCTTGTAGCTGAACAAACAAACAGCCGTCTGGCCCAAACCAAGATCTTGAAATGAAGAGATGAGAAACTCGCAAATTATGTGGAAACATTTTCAAATTGAAGCATTTAAAAAATGTTTCCATGTAATGTCATCATCAATGCCTCAAGTGTCAACAGTTTGACTCCACACCAGTGACTGAACCGGTGACATCAACCCAAAACATCACATTAAGTTAGTACTGGCCAGCATACCATTCATGAGTATACAGATCAAATTCTCCGTACAACTGTCCCATGGTGATAGACTTTGGGTTCAGGACGTAGCTGTGTGTGGTACAGAAGAATGACAAGGAAGGGTTGGGTTGTCCGTTCAGCTCAGTTTGTGCAGCCTGCAGAGTTTTGTAGCACTGGGGGGAGGGAAACATTTTTATTTAAAATTAATTGGACTTCATGTGAGTTTGTGAATAATAAATTCCAGATATTTGTCACTTTAAAATATTTAAGGTTAAGATTGTAAAAATGCTAAGTTTACATCATTTTCTCATCTTTAGACACAATAACTGTATGGCTTTACCGGACAAGCTTTAAACACAATAACTGTATGGCTTTACCGGACAAGCTTTAGACACAATAACTGTATGGCTTTACCGGACAAGCTTTAGACACAATAACTGTATGGCTTTACCGGACAAGCTTTAGACACAATAACTGTATGGCTTTACCGGACAAGCTTTAAACACAATAAACAGTCTCACTCCAACAAGCAAGCACCTCAGTTTTTCCACCTCCAGCGGGTCCAACCAACATGAGGCCGTGACGAACCACTGTTGTTTCATAAAGCTGGATACATTTGTGGATAAATTCTGTCGATCGGAGAAAATATCCATTAGCAGTCCATAACTATTATCTAAATTCTTTAAAGCATTCATATTTTTAACCAATGGACCAATGTGGTGAGGATTTTAGTGCTAGAAAAGGTAGCAAATGAAAATGTCCCAAACATGCAAATAATTTGGTGTAAACAATAATTTAACATGTTCAAGCTTAACATTAAAGTATAATCATAAATATTAAACTTCTTTTTAGGTTACCATCAACATCCTTGAGTCCTGCTTTAATACAGTTTGATCTCAGTGATGTTTCTAGGTTGCCATAGTCGATAGGTTCCTCTCTGTGAACAAAGGCTTGGGTCAAAGATTCAACATTTTAACAAAATATTACCTTATTGTACATTATCCTAATCACTGCATTAATCAGTGTTACAATGATAAAGCCTGAAAACGGCAATAATGAGTGTTAAAATTGTTATGCCTCATGAATGCTAAGGTATCTTCATTCACCGACAGGATTACTTCGCTAGAGAGGTAATCTTAATCTGCTTTAAATGGAGGCATTCCAAATCTGGGATGGGAAGGGGGGGGGGGAACTTGATTGCAGTATGATTTGTGTACTGACTCCCATCCTATGATAGGTTCAGGAGCATCTTTATGCATCTGGTGAAGCAAACCGGTCCTCTTCTGAGTAAGGGGAGAACAGATGTAGCAGACTATCCAAGCATATGGCTCTGCACCCTGGCCTGCCTTTCAATGAAACCTGGAAAATTTTGTGTTAAAATAAATACAATTTTTAAAATAAATGATGTAATATGTACAGATTATTGAATGGTATACTTACTTGACATTAGGAAAGAGATCTGACACAATGCCATTAAAAAGTGTCAGGTCATCTATGAGGAATTTGGGAACATTGACATCTTGAATAGCGCGTAAGCAAATCAGTTGCTGAAAGATGACAATCATATATTTTTTTGTAACAGATGCATACGAAAAAAGGGGCTCAATTTTTTTCAAAATAGAGAATTGGTAGCATTGAGCTAGTCAATTTTTATTTTCAAAAATAACACATCTTAACATAATTCTAAAAGAAAGCATTTTTATTTTTTCAAATCGGAATCCCCGACATTAGTATAAATAAATGCTTCGTTAATTTATTTTCTCCTTTGCAGCTCTAACTATATTAAAAAAAAGATTTGAACTAAACCTAATATTTGCATGTATTAACAACCTCATCCATTTCACTGTACATCCTCTTCAGGTTGCCAGCTGCTGAGATCACACTCTTCACTGCTCTCATACCAAAGTCGTAGTGGTCCTAGGTCAAAGCAGTAGTAAAAGTTTAGTAATAATTTTGGGCTGTCTTTAAATAACATGACTGAAAAATAACACAGTGAGGTAAGAATTTATGGTGATTTTTTTTTCTTTTACACAATCCTAGGTTAACGAGTCTTGAAGAAAGAAATAAAAGTCCATTACTTTTTAAAATTCAGATAGCTAGTTCCAAATTCCAATTATGACAGCAATTTACTTCTTTAGAATATAAATGGTTATTAATAAAAAATAAGGAAAATGTATTTAATGTAATTATCATCTTCTCTTCTCTTCTCTAATCTAGCCTTATTTGGTCAACAATTTAATTGATTTAAAAAGTTTCCCCCTAACCTGAGAGCTGAGCTGTTCTGAGGAAAGTTTGAAAGTTGATACAATTTTTTGGGCCAAATTTCGAGCATCAGAGAATCCAAATGAAAAAAGACTAATTTCTGAAATCAGGCCATAGTCTGGAACCATCATAGCTACTGGTCGAAACAATGCCTATTGGAAAAAATATAACTGAACAATACAATAAACCCCAAGAATAATAATGTATTATAAATGTGATAAAATTTTAGAAAACTTTTCATGCAATACTGGCCACACATTTTTCTGTCAAAGAACAATGGTTAACAAAAAGCAAGTAGAAGTGACTTAATTGAGAGGAAAAACTACCAGAATAGCTTATTGGATAACATAATCAAAGCAGTTTCATGATTGACACCAGCCATCACTTAAAACAACGGGCTGATCAAACAAATAAATTTAAGATAAACTCAACCTTCAGATTATCAGGCAGCTCAGTTCGGCCAGCATAGCCAGGATTCATTGTAATAAAGACAGCACATGACATCTTAAGGGCTATTTCAACACCTTCAAAAATGAATGTGTCGAGCTGAAGAGAAAATAGGATCAATTTAATTCCCATGTATAACAAATTTAAAAAAAAATTTATTAGATTTCTTCAGCTGTAAGCAGTTGTACTCGTTATATTTTGAGTTCACCTCAGTTTTTTTTAATAAAAATAAATATATAATATTTTGCATTCAAAATAACGAACCTGACATTTCAAACATTGCTTTGGCAAGCTCTACGAGCATTGAGAAGTTTCATTGATCTTTTTATTTTACCATTTGAAAAATTTGATTCAAAGTTAAAATATTTGTCCATGTCTGCTCTGATCGGACCAAAAAATTTTTTAAATTCTGAGCTTTATTATGATATAGACCTAAAAAAACTTAAAACATTCATAAAATGTTGTAAAATAATTGTTTTGATACCCCCATTTTCTGTGCGTTCTGAATGGTAGAGATTTGCTGAGCCACCACAGACAATACTTCTATGTCTATACGATTGAACTCGTCAAAGCAGGCCCATGCTCCAGAACTTTTGGGGTGGAAAAGTTATTTAAAAAAATTTAAATTACTGTTTTACAGGAAGAGTATTTATTTACATAGGAAATGAAAACTATTGACAGTCAAATAGAGATGGTCAATCAACTAAATAAAAAAAAATGAATTATGCTATCAAACAAATATAGAATTTTATCCTATCAGTTTTAAACATTTTAGAATTTCAAAAAATAATATTATGTTATTTATTTTTTCAAAAGGCTATTGTATATATATCAGTGTAATAAACCAATTTACACTGATTAATTTTTTCCTTTAATGAAGTCAGGTAATTATTGAAACCAGATAAGAACATTAATGACACTATTCAATTTTCTTTATATTTGTTTACTAAACTTCAAATTAGAAGGTATTTTTACCTGGCCAAACCTTTGAAGAATTTTGCCATGGCCATGTAATCCAGCTGATCAGAACAATTGAAAACCACGCACTGAATAGCAAATGCTTTGCCTAAATCCTACCAGTTTCAAAAGAGTAAAATTTAAGTTCATTTACAAAAGAATGGTAACTAACTCGGGTATTTAATCTCAATGAAAATCTATTTAAAGCTGTTTTGTCAAGTAAATTAGCTTGGGCTAAAATATTAATATAAACAGGAAAAAATAAATCAGTTTGATCATAGTCATTTTTGTCAAGTAGAGTTTTTAATTAAATAGTACAGTCTTTTTTTAAAAGCACAGTACAAAGTAGTATAAATTAATAAAAAAATGTTTATAAGTCAAAATTTAATAAATCCATATGCAAAAAATGATGGAGACAGAATCTGTAAATCAGTGTTTCCCAACCTTTTGTTTACTTCGCAGCCCCTACAAATAATTTGACTAGTCTTGCACCCCCAATGAACTGTTTTACTAAGTCTAGTATCCCTTTCCAAAGTAACAATGCATTTTATTTATTTTTTTATTTAATGACAGACAAATGTAGAGCTCAGAAAATAAACCTTTGACTAATTACAAAAAGGAAAATTTTAACGATGACATGTTTAAAATTATATCAAAATTTACTTCTTAAGATAAAAGCTAATTTCTACTCCGTTCCTATAATCCCAAAGCTCAATGGAAATTTTATCGAACTGAAATTCAGTTGAATCTTTTTTTCAGTTCAAAAGTTAAAATTTTACTTCAAATTTCTTTTTGAACACATTATTTTGTTTTACTATATAATATAGTGCATTCAAAAAGAAATTTGACGAAAATTTTAATGTGTGAACTAAAAAAAGATTCAATCAAATTTCCGTCGATGAAATTTCATTCGGTCAAATCTCCGGTAATCATTTATATTAGCTGTTTTAATGGTCCCAGTCATACAAATGTTTTAGGATGATAGACACGCTACGTGGAATGAACCCAACTAATCTAATCAAACTCAATATCATATTCTTGCAACATTACCTTTGTGGTTTCAGTCTTGCCTGTTCCAGCAGGTCCTGCTGGGGCACCTCCAAACAAGAGATGAAGGGCTCCGGTCAAAGTCAAGTAGCATCTAAGGAAACATGTCACAAAAATATAAAGAAAAAAATTCTACCGTAAAACAAACAAAAAAAACGAGTTGCTGTCTGGAACAGTGCTGCTAATTCTTCTACTCATAACCAGGAGACAGTAGTTTCAAACGCATGTTCAGTCACTTCCAGACATAGGTGGGTAACCAGGGAATTGTTTGGTAGCTATTCCTTAAAGAGGAGGGAAATCTAAACCACCAAAACGGAAATGGTAACCAATGTGGCAAGGAAGAAACAGTGGCTGCTAAGAATATTAATACAAATCAGTTTTTAGTCAGATACAGCTATAAGTATTTTAAATATGAATTTTTCATAACAAAGTTATTTTAAATTGCATCAAACTCTGTCTTGACTTAATCCAGTGACAGCTATACTTGACTTAATCCAGTGACAGCTCTACTTGACTTAATTCAGTGACACCTATACTTACTTAATTCAGTGACAGCTATACTTGACTTAATTCTTTTTGCCTGTCGTGCTTTTCAAATTAGAGATGACATAAGAATGGGCCCTACCTGTCTGTTAGAGGTGTGATGACCAGGCGCGGTGTGTTACCCAGGTATTCGTACCCATAAGGAAACTGAGCATTTACAGCTCTCTGATAGAGGTTCTCATCATCCAACCAGTAATACCTGAAAATATTTCTATCTGTAACTCTGTAACACACACTATCTACATTTAATGGATTAAAGGGTGAAACTGCTGCTCGCTAGCCAACAGAACATCTGTCCTATAGGCAGGTCAATGAAAAAGCGTTACCTAAATAAACAAACCAAATAGCTATCAGACCACATTATTATCTTAACTGGTTAACTAGCATGAGCCGCTCGCTGCATTTCTCTCTTTATGGCCAGGGGCCGCTGGTAGCGCCAATGTTTGTATCGTAGTAAATCAGGTCAAATATTTATATTATTCTGTTGCCGTTTTGGTTTGAGATTTTAATTTACCGACATGATGTTTTATTTTTTAAACACATGCTGCCAGCAGAAGGTTTTAAAAGACGGGCAGTTAACTAATTTAGCTTTAATTTCCAAGCTAGTTACAAACTTGTACAACTTGTTTAGTGTGGCAAAAAGTGACGGGGTTACTAAAGGCATATACATAATTGAAAGGGTAAATATTATTTAATTTCTATGTTCTTAAGTGCATTTTTCTTCTTATTATTGGATATACTATTTGGAAACCACAAAATAAAAGGTTTTTAAATGTTTTGGAAATTTAAATTGTATAGGTAGTTGGCACATTTATATATTTTTTAAAAATTGTTTTTCTGTTGTAAATACTAATTTAGCAATTAATAATTTCCTGCCAAAATTTAACTGTAAACATGGTTTATGTTTCTCTCATAGACAATTCATTTACCTACAGAATGGTTGGTTAATCATTAGGATATGTTTAAAATTAAGAAGACTGCAGCTGACTTTGTGCATACACCTTCAATGAGAAAAGGTGTCCTGAATTTAATCCGGCCACAGCCTGACTTTTAATCTGGTAGCTAATCAGTTAAAAGCAATATTACTGTCATTGTCAAGTCACTGGCTATTCCTGCAGTTATTATATTAGCTAACAATGAGCGCCCCCCCCCCCCCCCCCCAAAAAAAAAATGACAGCAATTTTGACTTTTTCAAATGATTTACTTTAGAATAGAGATTGTGAGAGTCATTTTGTTTGGAAGCTAAAGAAGGAGAGAAAAGATTTCCATGACTGCCAAGCCAACCCTGTTCACTTGCATCATGTTTAGTGGTCATTCTACCAGTTGACTTCATTCAAGCAGAAATTTAATTCAAAATAAAATAATCCTCTTATAAATATAATTAGTATTTATATTTTTACTGATGGTTTAATTAAATTTTAAGATAATATATTTCATTGATATCTTGCATGGAGAAAATTCCAAGGCAGAGCAATCACTCGAAGGAAATTTATATTAAATGTGTCTGTTGAAAAGGGGGATAAAGCTGTTGCACTTACCTCAACTGGCTGATCCACTCAAAGGCATTCGGGTCGTTTACACTTTCCTGTACCATCCTCTCCACGACATCTCGGGAGTGAACTTCAATGACAATTAAAGCAGACAGAGTCATGCGACCAATGCTGAGGAAATCAAAACAACTCTTTGAAACAGTGATACCAAACTACTTTTTAACAAAGACGAGGTGGGGAGAACTCAGACTTAATCAAGGAACAAGCCGAGCATGTAAAATGGTCTGCAGGACGCATGTGCCATTTTTCTCTGGTCAAAAACTTAGTTATCAGGCAGGTGTTAATTATGCTGACAATTAACCCTTGAAGGCATGACTTGTACGTCATTTAAGTCATCCGTTAGACAGATTTAAAGCCAATTTTCTTTGGACAGATATTGGATATTCTTGAGCTTGAAAAACCTTATACTGAAAGACTCTTATGTTCATTTCATTATTTTGTTTTCCAAAAAATTAGCTTCAAGATTCAGACTTTGGTGTTCCTGTAACTTTCAGGAGAGATAACTCCTCTATTGAATCTGATAGATAGCCTACAACACAATCGTGGGGCACCACAAACAACCGTACATGAAACTTGTTTAAGTTACTTGGAAATATCCTGTTTAACCAAGTCTCTCAGCCCGTCCAGTTGCTCCAACATCAAGATGAAGTATTTGGTCAAAGCTTTCTGTTCCAGAGCCTTGGCCACTTGAAAACTCCAATAAATTTGACAAACTGCAATGACAACCTGGCCAGGCCACTTCAGGACAAACTTTGTCCTCTCTGTCTGGAATAAACCAGTTTTTTTTTTCAATTTTAATACTGTTGATCATTTTGCCATATAAATTTTTTATGGAATAATGTAGGTAAAAATATCCTATTTACCATTTTATATTAAAATGAAAAGCTGCTGTTGGACGAGACAAACCTTTTACTGACACTGGACATCAAACTTTGTAGTTGATTGGTTAAAGATAAGTTTAGATACATAGTAAGGAAATAAATAATTGCAAAGTTGTTGGACTTTTTCTTACATTATTTTCAGTACACACCTAACAAAGACATCACTTGCACATATCAATAATAAATAAGGTCAGAGTAACTTTGTTTGTTCCAGCTGGGGCTGTGGTTCCCTAGACTTTGCAGCCTTGCTGACCACAGCTTTACAAAGAGCATCAACAACTTCTAAAAGAGATGAGGTGGGCTACTCAAAGGGATGTGTAATTTAAAACACTTTCTGCAACTCTGTAAAGCGACCTACTTCAAGATAATCTGGGATGGCTGCCTTGATGACCGATCGGATCGTCTGCCTCATGACTCTCTCTAGCTCAAGCATCCAGTCCTCAATGTTTCCTATAGGATACATCTCCTCACAGAGCTCAATGGATTCACCCTCCCCAGAGAACATGGTGGAGATCCTCATGTTGTTTTCAAACTTCAGCTGTGAATATTTGGATCAGTAGCGTCATGGGGGGGTGGCAAGTGATAGACTTGACTCAAAGTTTGACAGAGTCAAATGTTAGATCTGAATGTTAGATCTGAATGTTAGATCTGAATGCCGTGTCTCGGAATTAATAAAAGCTGATGCCTAGCCATAAGTTAGATCTTAATGCTATGCCTAGGAATTGATCATAACTGTTGCATAGCCATATGTTAGATCTTAATGCAATTCCTAGGAATTAATCAAAGCTGTTTGCCTAGACGTATGTTAAATCTGAATGCAGTGACTAGGAATTAATAAAAGCTGTTGCTAGCCATAAGTTAGATCTTAATGCAATTCCTAAGAATTAAAGCTGTTTGCCTAGATGTATGTCAGATCTAAATGAAATGCCTAGGAATTGATCATAGCTGCTTGCCTAGCCCTATGTTAGATCTGAATCCAGTGTCTGGGAATTAATAAAAGCTGTTTGCCTAGCAACATGATGTCCGTTCATTTCAATGACTGTTTAGTTCCAGATTTCATCAAATTAGGAAATAGGTTTATGGTAGGGGTTGACAAAATAGTAACAACTGAAGATGCTGTGGGCCACAGACGTAGCTTCAAACAGGGGCGTGGAAACACAGATGTCCCTGGATTTACTTAACGGGGGTAGGGAAATGGGGGTGGGCAGTTCCCTTCATTGTCTCCTGGCTGTCCATACTGAGAGGCCCTGGAAAGTGAGGGTGAAGGTTCCTCCGGGTATTTTGCAATGATGTACTTAAGTAATGCTTACACACAAATACAGTGGAGGAAAAATAGTTTAGTCAACACTTCAAAAACATGTACCATGATAAGTCAATATCTTAATTAATCAAACACATTCATCAAAGGTCAACTTACGCTTGCTATGTTTTCAAAGCATTTTCTCAGATGAGGCTGGACAGCCTTGGGGTCTTTGGTCTGGGACAATATCTCCAGCAGCTCATCGTCAGACAGGAAGAAGAATCGCGGGAAGCTTGACCTCTTCGTCTCCAGATAGTCGCTGAGACCCTTAGATACGTGATCCAGCAGCTCACTGCATTTCTTCAGGTCTGTGAGCATGTTATCATCAGGGCAAATTACGATCACCTTATGAAAGAAAAAATCAAATATTGTCTCATTCAGTAACTGTTTAATCTAAATATACAAACTTATTTCATGTGTTCAACTGGAGCGGTGTTAAAACCCACAAAATCATTAAAACTCCTCAAAATATGGTGGCCAGTTTCAAATACCCAATATCTAGAACAGCGGTTCTCAACTTCTAGAGCAGCGGTTCTCAACTTCTAGAACAGCGGTTCTCAACTTGTCGGTCGCAACCCCTTTGGGGGTCGAATGACCCCCACAGAGGTCGCCTAAGACCATCGGAAACCACTTATTTATGAAGTAAAAACGAAAATAAATTTATGGTTGGGGGGTCACCACAACTTGAGGAACTGTATTAAAGGGTCACGGCATTAGGAAGGTTGAGAACCACTGATCTAGAAGCTTGCCAAAGGGTGGGGCTATTGAAAGACAGGTGAGACATTCAGCAAACATTATTGCTATGGATGTAAATGTTTATAGATGGCAAGATTACCATTTTTGTTTTTAAAGCCTCATCCCTCTCCATCTCATAAATATATTACACTATCCTCAGGTCTAAAATGCACATCATCATCAGTGGCGCTACAGCCCATGGCCTGCTCCACCACATCCTTCCATTCGGAACGATCCATGGCTTTCCGCCTCCATGCGCCAACCCCCATTTTTTGTAAATCCTTCTCTACATCGTCGATCCGTCTCGGTCTTGGATGACCGGTGGGCTAAAATCCACATGATAACAATAATTAAATTTGAACTTAATGTTATCGTACGTGGGGCTCCGTTTTTGCCATCCTCATGACTTTCCTCCAGACCCTCTCCATCGTGTTGTAGCGTTTACTTTCTGTGGGGAGTTGCTTGGTGATGTCGTCTGAGCTGAATATAGGCTCCAGATACAACCAAGCTCTCTGTACGTTCAGCCATGCATCAAGGACATCCTGAGCAGCGAAGGGAAAAAAAATCCCCACAAAAGTGAGTTAAAGACAATGTTAAACCCTTTGAGTAAATAAAAGCATGTTCCTGTGAAGTTGGCCAACAATGTTAAACCCTTTGAGTAAATAAAAGCATGTTCCTGTGAAGTTGGCCAACATTGTTAAACCCTTTGAGTAAATAAAAGCATGTTCGTGTGAAGTTGGCCAACATTATTGTGTGACAAACAGAAATTGAAACAGCACACATTTCAGGCTACAACCATTTTTTTTTTTTAATTGCACTTTCATTCCTCATTAAGGCCTTGATGTCTTTCTAGTTTTACGTCATTACTTATCGTTACCCTCCATTTCTGAACCAGAGTAAATCATTTTGATCCATCAAAATGAGAGGAATTGTGAATTAAATTCTATTTAAAAATTTTCAAAACTGATGATCAGCTTGCCCTCATAATCTTAACAAGTTGTTGGCTACCGTGGCTGTTAAGATCACACATCACATCATGTTATTTAGCCTTACTATATGCTGCTGCTGCAGTGAGAAATTGTAGGAAACTCATCCCAAATAAATGCAATCCCAAAATTCACTAGCCATTTTGACGGTCATTATGAAGAGATGACAGGAATTTCCATTTTTGTGGATATAAAAATTTGACATCTTTTTTTTTTTTTTTTTATTGCAGGCCCACAGTTTTAAGATCAATTTATAAGATTATTCAATCTAAAAAGTTTTTCAGCTTTTATTTTCATAAGATTCTGCTAGTTGTTTACTACCGTCTCATGTTTTAACACCCACTTGTGTAAGTTTGAGTTTTGCCTCCCATGAGCTAATGCGCTCCTCAAACTCTTTCTTGAAAGGTGAGAAGGCCATGGACTGGGTCAACACAATGTGGTCATCAAGCATCTGGGAGACCTCATCAGATGCCTTCAGCATGTACGTGCCAGTGTTCTTGTAAGCGTGGATGTCAAACTCCACATTCTCCCAGTCAGATTCCATTTTGTTCAAAGACTAAAAAAAATTATTGACATGTGCTGTAAGACGTAAAATCAATGTTTTTCTTTTCTAGTGCTTTGAAAGTCTTATATTTGAGTTTGTAAAATAAAATAAAAATCATTTTATTTTTATTAATAAAATTACCCAAACAAATGTCAGATCCTTCCACAGCTAACTAGGCTTGCACAGCAACTAGGCTTGCACAGCAACTAGGCTTGCACAGCAACTAGGCTTGCACAGCTGACTATGCATGGACGGCTAATGAGGCTTACACAGCTAACTAGGCTTGAACAGCTAACGAGGCTTGCACAGCTAGTTAGGTTTACACATCTAACTAGGATTACACAGCTAATTTGTGAGAAGAAAAGGCTGGACCTATTTCTATTCTAAGTTAATAAGAAATGGCGGGGATAGTAAACTAGAAATCAGAATCTATAATAGACTTGTTTAAAAGTCTAGTCTAAATTACACCTCACCAATTCAATGGCGTACTCCTTGGCAGCCACGTCAGACACTTTGCTGATGATGTCAATGTGCTCATCAAGTTTCAACTCCAGGACTTTGGTGAAGGTCAGGTTTGGGCTGGGTTTAAGTTTCATGCCGATCTCTTCAGATAACTAAGGGGAGACAAATCATGTGGGCCTCATATAACGAAGAGAATATGGGTCTAGCTAAAACATGTCGGTCTCATATAATTAAGGGGAGACAGTTTCAATAAAACGTTGTTGTTTCAGATAACTAAGGGAGACAGTGTGTAGTTAAAAACATGCGGGCCTCAGATAAATAAGGGGAGACAATTTCAATTAAACTGTGTTGTTTCAGATAACTAGGAGACAGTTTCAATTAAATTATGTTGTTTAGTTGTTTCGTGTGGAGACAGTGTGTAGTTAAAAACATGTGGGCCTCAGATAAATAAGGGAAGGTAAATGTAAGTAAAAAAACAGGTGTTGCATTATGTGTGAATTTTATGTCAGTTTGTGAGGTTTAAAACTAACTTGATGAATAGTAAAATATTCCCCATCTTTATCATGCAGCATTCTCTTAATCACGGGTCTAATGACAGAGGATGGCTGGTTTTTATGTTTGGTAATGTCCTTTCAAATTTTCATAGTTTAAAAATTGTTCAGCGAATCAGAATGTTTTCATTGACATTGTTTTTTTAAAAATTAAATTTGCTGAGAATAAATAAATGTACGCATTTCAATTTATTTTCACCCCTTAAGAAAATTTAACCTCCATTTTAACCCCCGTTGTGTACAGACACGTGTTTAGAGTGGCTCACCAGATCCCAGTGCCGCTTACGAAGACCCGGGTTGGTCAATCCTTGAATTAGGGGCACGTAAGGTTTAAAGTCCTCAATGTTGCTTTTGATGTTGTTGGCCACCTCTTGTACCGCTGTAAAACAACCAACAGATTTCGTTTAGTAGTTTTCTTCATTATCTAATACAAATAGATTCATAATCCATCTCCCTAACTCAAAGGGGCCATGACCTGCAGGTTGTGCACCACTGATGAACAGTACTGCACTAACTGTTTTCAGAGATATAATTAACATAACACTCCATTCACAGAACATTCACCTTGGTTAAGTGTTTTAGAGTGCAAGTACCTGGAATGTTGCTGAAGTAGCGCACCGACTTCTGCATGGTTTTCCAGGATTCGTTTACCGTACGCTCAAGTTCTTCGGCATTGATGGAACTCATGGGGTCGGTCAGCCAGCTCTCGTGCCAACGCACCCAATCAGATGTGGTGATCCACAGCTTCCTGAAGGGCTCAAACTCTTTCATGATTTTGGATATGCGAGAATACTGAAATAAATAAATAATGCCATTGTTATGGCACAGGTCTGGCCTTAGAGGTTATCATCAGCAATAACAATTCTAGTTTAATACAATGTCTAACAATACTTTCTATTCCGGGGGAAAAACTGGTTATTTTTATATTTATTTTACACAATTGCATGCTGTGGTGGTTGACTTTTAACTTTGATACGATTTTAAAAACTTTTTGTATATCAAAGTACTTTTTTACAATAATGTTATAATCTTTAATTATTAAAGTTTCGATTTTGACATGAGAAGGGTAATTATTTTCAACTAAGAAGAAGATTTTATATCTAAGTTATCAGTTTTGACCTCATTACTTCATTTTAAAATGAATGATGTACCAAAATTTTACGTTAAGAGTTAAATTTCCTTTCTGTAACTAGATTTTTTTTCCTTACATATGTAAGCTTAAGTTTGAATGGTCTCTACTCTCTACCCTTACATATGTAGGCTTAAGTTTAAATGGTCTCCTCTCTCTACCTTTAAATTTTTAGGTTTAAGTTTGAATATTCTCTACCCTTACATTGGTAGGTTTAAGTTTGAACAGTCTCTCTCTGCTGTTGTAGAGCTGGGCCAAGTCCTGGCAGTCCCTCAGGTTCTTGTACATCCTTCTCATTTCATTGGCAAACTCGTGGGCCTTGTCCATCTCTGAATGTTCTGCCATAGCTGCTACCACAATCTGACAAGAAGACAAAATTAATAATAATTACATGACAATGACAATAAAAAAAAAATAATTAAATTAAAATTGATTGCCAGAAATGACCTCAAAATTGGAGAAATTCATTTGTGTTTAGGCTTGATCACTTTGCTTGAATGTAACATGAAATATTTTAAAATCCTTCTTTGTATTTCTAACTCGTATGAAAGTCAATCTGTACAAATGTGCATGACATACATAACTCAGGGTGCACATCAGGATTATCTCCTTTCCCCCCCCCCCCCCCCCCCCCCGGCTCCTGAAATGCAAATCGGTGAACATAATTTACATGCACTTTACCTGTTTATGTCCCTTTTCCCCCATCTCCTGAAATGCAAACCAGTGAACATAATTTACATGCACCTTACCTGGTTTATGTCCAGGCGCTCATTAAGTGTTATGGTGTCCGACTCCAACTGCCTGAAGTACCTGTCCTCATCCTCTTCCAGGGCCTCAAGTTTCTTCTCACACATTTGTTCAATCTTAGCTGGCCAGCCAATCATCAGAACTCTGGCAAAAGCATCATCAAAAGAATCATCAACAACAGCAATACCAACAACATCATCAACAACATTATCATCAGCAATATGAACATCAACATCATCATTAACATTAATCAACACCAACAACATTATCATCAGCAAAATCAGCATCAACAACCTCATTGTCATCAACATTCATCAACAACAACAAAGACCACCTGATATGATTGACATATAACAACTCCCTGTCAATATTTCAAATCATGCACAACATCAGGGTAAAATTTTCTTTTTACAATTGGCTCAGGCAAAATATTTCTTTCATTTGTATAGCTGTAATATCTATTGAGGGTGATAATCTTTCGGTTGTTGATCATTTCACATACCTGGGATCCAATATTTCTAGTTCTCTCTCCGTTGATGAAGAGATAAATATCAGGATTGCAAAAGCAGCAGCAACTATGGCTAAACTGAATAAGCGGGTGTGGAATAATCTCAATCTAACTGATAAAACAAAAATAAGTGTCTATCAGGCATGCATGCTTAGCATGCTCATATATGGTAGCGAAGTGTGGACCACATATACCAGCCAGGCGGAAACTCAACAGCTTCCATCAAAGATGTCTATGTCGCATTTTGCGCATTCGTTGGCAGGACAGGGTGTCTAACGTGGAGGTTTTGGAACGTGGTTAGATCATGTACGGAGAATGGAGGAAGGACGTATCCCAAAGATTCTGCTGTATGGAGAGTTGGCAGAAGGGACAAGACATATTGGACGACCACGCCTGAGATTTATTGACGTTTGCAAACGAAGCATGAGGGAAGCCAATATTGAAACAAACAAATGGGAGTTCATTGCCGAACATCGGTGAAACTAGCGAACAGCGGTGTTAGAAGGAGTAATAAAGGCAGAAGATACTCGAAACGAGGCCCTTGAATCAAAAAGAACAATTCGGAAATCAAGAATTTACCGGGATTCAATATTCTCTTGCGAGAGATGCGGCCGTGATTGCCATTCTAGGGATTGGCCTAGTGAGCCACACGTCAAAGTGTGGAACTATATAGCTACTCCATCGTCTCACGAAGATGGAAGGATGCCATACAATAAATGAGCTTGGGTGAGACTAAGCAGACATGTTTTGGCAAAAATGGTCACAATTGGAAAAATGGCTCTTCCCAATTAGGTAAAAAAAAATGTTATTTGATCAAAAATTTCCTACTTGATCAAAAATTTCTTACTTGATCAAAAATTTCTTACTTGATCAAAAATTTCTTACTTGATCAAAAAGTCCTCATCAGACAAACTATAGTTGTACTCATCCAGTATATCATACTGAGTCAGAAGGATTTGCATGGCTTCCTATGGAAAAAGGAAAAAGGGGGGTGGGGGTTGTTGAACAATTTGAGAAAACAATTGTGTACAAATCTCATAAAAGTGCTTCTGTCAGCTGTGAGTGTCCACCGATTGACTGAAAGGCATATTAATTTTTGTTAATAAACTGTGTGCATGAGTGTGATGTTCATGTGTGAACATAAACAGGTTAGAGAGAGAGAGAGAGAGAGAGAGAGAGAAAATCACTGCTGTAACAAGGTGGTTCATTGGTTTATGTAGATTTTAGGGGCTCATTCTGTTAGTGAAACTAATATTATTGACAGGAAAACCTGTGTTTGGGTGAAGTACAGTATTTCAGTAAAGGTCAATCTTGTACGCCGGAGACAGAGGTCATCCTGTATGCAGGCTAGACACCCCTAGACAACAACAGCATTCACAGCCAGTGGCCAGCCATTGGGCACCACAACACACCGCAGAGATACCAGAATCAAAGCTCAACACACACACACACACACCAAAACAATGAAGTGAACATGAAGTAAACCACCTCAAACAAAAATGGTGAACTCAAGTTTGATTTCTCAGTGAATGAGACAAACCATTGCAGTTTACTTTAAGTGTCAAAAAAATAAATGTACAAGACTTGTTTTGTCAATGACGCTGATCATATACAGCTGTGATTTACCCTAATCTTATCCAACTTGACAGGTATTTCATTGATCCATTCACGGAGGCTGAACAAATCCTCTATACACGCCGGGACGTCAGTGATTCTTGACAACATTTCCCGGAATTCTGAGATAATCTGCAGTTTTTAGGAAGAATATGTATACATGAAGCTTATGAAGATTTGAAGAAGAGATCTTAGAGGTCTTAACAACTGACTGAATACTAATGATGCTGTCATTAAAATGAATGCATAGCGCAAACAAAAATTATTAAAGGGAATTTGTTTTGAAATTACAGTATCATTTACATTAGCAATGTGATGTGAGTTAGTGAGGTTAGATTCTGAGTTTGTGTGGTGAGTTTGTGAGGTGAGTTTGTGTGGTGAGTTTGTGTGGTGTTTGTGTGGTGAGTTTGTGTGGTGAGTTTGTGTGGTGAGTTTGTGTGGTGAGTTTGTGTGTTGAGTTTGTGTGGTGAGTTTGTGTGGTGAGTTTGTGTGGTGAGTTAGTGAGGCTATTTTGAGGGTGAGTTTGTCGAAATGGGCAAAGTGAAAATCTGGTACAATAAAACATTGGTCGCGGCCACTCACATCATCTGCCATCTTCCTCAACCTCTTGGCAATGAGAGATAGGATTGAGCTAGCCAGTTCCAGCTTCTTGGCACACAGCTGATCCCGGACACCCTCCACACTGACGAGGTACGGACCAATGACAATAGAGTAGGGCAGTATCTTCATGATGGTCTCTTTCTCTTTCAAGTGCTTCTGTACTTCTTTGTCCATTTCTTTACTGGTATGACATTCGTCTTCGTAGGTTCTGAGTCAAGTGTGAAACAAAGCATAAAATATAGAGAGAGACTTACGGTAACTCAAAGCAGCTACTGAATTCCATCGAATATGAAAAATACAGCTGGCACATCTGTGGTGATTTGAAGGTGGATGCCCTTTTCAATGGACTACAGCAAAAAATACATGTTTCTTATGTGAGTGAGATAGCCAAGCAAGGCGATTGCACTACTTGCGGAAGGAATGGACTCAAAGATGAAATAACGCAGTTGCAGAGAAGAATATCCAGCACCCAGCTCTGGTTGAGGCTCACAAAATCCTGCTACCACCCTTTCACATCAAACTAGGTTTGATGAAGAGCTTTGTGAAAGCCTTAGACCGGCCATTGCCCGCTTTCTGATACCTGCCCGAAAATTCCCTCGACTCAGCGAAGCAAAGATTAAAGAAGGAGTTTTTGTGGGTCCTCAGATTTGAGAGCTCTTCAAAGATGGCCAGCTCAACAACTTGCTGCAGGGTGATGTGAAACAAGCATGGAATGCTTCTCACCTGGTGTCTACAAACTTTCTCTGGAATGTTAGGGCAGAAAACTACAAGGAACTAGTAGAAGACATGCTGGTGCAGTATAAAAAATTGGGCTGCAATATATCTCCAAAGATCCAGGTCTTCCATTCCCATCTTGATTACTTCCCTGACAAACTGTGTCATGGTGAACATTTTCATCAAGATATCGCAAAAATGGAACAAAGATATCAGGGAAATTGATCCACTAAAGTGCTGGCTGACTACTGCTGTCTCACTACTGCTGTCTCACTACTGCTGACTGACTACAGCTGACTGAATACGGCTGGATAATCCACAGAGATGCTCCCAAACAGCTGAACAACAGACAGGCTAAGAATCTAAAAAGTAGCCTATGACTTGATTTTTTACAGGTATTAATTAACCATAGACCCAATACTATTGGCATGCCTTTTGTTATGTAAACATTAATTAATGGCAGATGACACCAACCAAAGC